TGTAAATTTTCGTTCAATAAATGGATTCAGATTTTGCGCATCTTTTGTATGTATCTTTTTTAACTGTAGGAAAAGCGTTATATCTTGATTGGGATCCCAAATAATTTTATTTCTCAATTACTAGGCAAAAGTTAATATAATTATAACTGCTAAAAAAATACATGAAATTTCTACCAGGGACGTTTAAGATTTTAATGAAAAACTAATGACTAATATTGATGTATTATATAAACATTTCCGAATTAATGACCATTTTGTGTTGAAAATATAATCACAGAAAATTTACAATTTATAGTAATACCCACGATATATATGTTCATATACACGTATTTAAATATTTATATACCACTTTCTATTGTATGTGCCCCTCTATTAGCTCAACTTACTATAATACTGTAACAAAGCATTAATAACCAAATTAAATATATAAATAAATAAGTAAATAATAAATAAAAAAATTAACATTTATTATTCAGATAGTTAAATAAAGTTATAGGAAAGTATATTTTTCAGTAATTAATACATTTACATATAGGCCTTTCAATATCGCCACTGAAAATCCTCTCTGTGATACAACTACTTCAAATTGAGAGCCGCTCGCTACACAGCCTGCGCTAGATTTTTAGCAGCTTTACTTAATATAGTGCACGTTTGCACTTATGTACACGTAAAATGTGTTAACTAGGTAAATTGAGTATTTTACATAATGCGTCGCACATGTATGACGCTGTTAGCGAACGTGTTAAGAGCTCCCGCGGTCGATTTCTCATTGTTTAATCATGTATTCGCCGCGATTTGATTTAATGCATTCTCGCACACTATAATCTGATTTTTATTATTAGTTATCATCACGCGCGAATTGTTATACCGTTAATTGCGTTCTTTCGCGTACTGCCGCGGTTGCGCCGGCTCTTCCTCTCCGTGGCGGCCCACCCTCTCTCGATTGCGCCATTTCTATTTTTATAATACTATCAAACGTGTGTCTCGCGTACAACGCGTCACTGCCTCGACGTTTTTCCCTCTTTGCCGTCCTTCGTCGAAAATATTTATTATCCAGGCCACGTTCGCCCGCGGGGAGAGTGAACCTTTCGAAAGTTGAAGGCATACCCATGGGGCGCACGAAGGTATTAAGTGCCCTCCGACGAATTCCCGGTCACGCGGCCGCCTTTTCGCAATTAACATTTGGAACGGAAGAGGTATTCTGGATTAGTAATTGTATGTGTACGTGTGGGGCTTCGTTTGGCTGATATATCACTGCGCGAGACGCGTGCGCGCGCACACACACACACACACATATATATATACACACAATGCCAAGTTCGCGCGCCACTTGACGAGCGAGTATTTTCTCGCGTAAATTACTCGGGTCGTGTGTTATTCCGAAGGTCTGACGACTGCTCCACGTGACCCGGGGATGAAACGCGAATTTGTTGCCGAGGTAAAATTACCGGTGGACGAAAGTAACGAATTAAATTACGTCAGGGCGGTTCGTGCGCGCCCTTTTCCTTCTCCTCTCAATCCCTAATCGCGCATCTCATCTTTTATCCGCGCGCGTACGCGCAAAGTTACATTTACCCTGCGAATCCAATCTTGCAGTACATCCTCATCTAAAATAAATGGCGCGATGCGGACTCGATTCGCAGGACGGACACTCCAATCAGGGTGCTGGCAGTGTCACTGCAAAATGCGCGCGAGATCGCGCGCGCGGTATTCAGGTTATCCTCAATACCACGTGGAAGATAGCCGCAGAATCTCGCGGGAATTTAATTTGCGCCCGGCTGGATGGATGCTGCCTTCGCGCAGCCAGGCAGCCAACCTGGTGTGATAAATGTACATACATATTTACAGCCAGGGTTATCAAACGCGTCCCCGCGTTTCTCCCCGGATCCCCTCCCCGTCGACCGAGTTCCCTCCCGATCGTGCCCACCAGAGGAACGTTGCGACTCGCTTCGATCTCCGAGGATCGCGTCGCATTCGTCGTCGCCGCCGCCGTCGCGAACGTTGAAAAAGGTACGCCACGCTGGGCTATCGTAAAATACGACCGTCGCGATTCCGGGTCGCGTCTTATATTTTGGAATTGATGTTGTAGAGGCGAGCCCGAGATAATTATAAGATATTGTGCCACATAAAATATCGCGTCCCAGATACATATCATACGATTCGACGCGAGACCGAGATCACGGCCAAGAAATTTAATGGACGTGGAGGGAGAGACAGCCCAAGTGGTAGGACGGCGGAGGACGGTGCTGGTATGTGGTGGTGTTTCTGACAAAAGCTAATGACGTACGATAGTAACCTTCGCGAGGAGAGAACAAGGGGAAGAGAGAGAGAGAGAGAGAGAGAGTAAGGGAGCGCGCGATACATATTCCGGCTGATATGCATATTTAGTGCCGTTCCATAATTTTCTCGTGGAAGTGCACGGGGCACTCTGCCAAATCAGCGAAATTGAATCGGAAGAGAATTTTTAGGCGAAGCGCTTTATTACGTTATTATATTTAGGTTCGTCGAGGTGGCGCACACGCTTCGCGGACGTTTTATATACATTTCCAGCGGCGGCGGCGCATGGCGGAGTGTAAACCCGGCTTGATTAGAATATCGCGGGAATTGTGCGCGCGTTTATTACGCTCTCGTCGGCTGTCTCGCCGTCTCTCTCTCTCTCTTTTTCTAGCTATCTATTTATCTCTCCCCCTCCCTTTTTCGCCGACAATAACAATGTTCAACAAACGAGCGCGGCCGTAGCGCCATGACGCACGACATTTCCCGAGTGTCGCTTTTAATTTGATTTAATTGCGCCCATGCGATAGTCTCATTTTCAGCAATTACGCCAGCGCGTTTGAACGCGATGGGTGGTACGTGGCGATCGTTGCGAGCGGGTCGCACAGGCTTCGAGGAGTAAGCTGTAAACTGCAGCGAGACGCGATTTACAGCCCGCTCGTTATCGGGCTAATTATTCTTTTACACGGCAAAAATAATTACGTGCTCGCGACTGGTTCGCGTTTCTTTGACTCGAAATTTCGCTAATCGTCTCTCTCCTAATCGCAGCTAATCACCAGACGCCGTTGTCGCACCAAATCTCCTCCAGGATATATGATACTTGGAAAAATTTGGGAACCTGGAATTTTCTTCAGGGAATTTGTTTATGCGTAGAAAAATCAGGGAATTCTCGGGCAATTTTAATTGAAGATATGCCGAAGTTGTTCATAGATAAATATTATGTGATTGACTGAATTTTATTTAATATTTTCTTCGGTAAAAATCGTAGAAAAAATAGTTTAGAATCTTTCGAATTTATTTAATTAATTTTTATTTTAATTAATAAGCAATAGAGCCATATAAGTCGTAGATGCGAACTTATTAACATTCTGTGTATACATACATTTAAGATTGTTTTTAAATTCCTGTTTAATATTTAAATATTAGCACTTTTTTATGTTTACAATAGATTCTTTCTTGCTTTATATTGATATACTGATAGATTATTTCCGATATTGAAGACGATTTCGTGTTAGGTGCAATTTTGTTTAATTAAGACAAATATATATTTTAATAGATTTATAAAAGTTGCATTTTATACTGGTTATACATCACATAATTTATTGTTAATAGGTTTGAAAATAAAATTTGAAAATTTTATGCAACATAAGATATTTATTTCTTAAATTCCTTACAGTCTTTTCCAAAATTTTTCCATTTAATCATCGAAACACCGAAGCTACTCTCAATTTTATTTTATGCACTTTTATGAACGGAAAATATTAAGAACTTTGCACAATTAATATATTCATTTACGACATGCATTTAAAAATATCATCTCACCTGAAATTATTAACAAATTGCCTGGAGAATCAGGAAATTCTCGGAGAATTTTTTTTGGGTTTCAGTAGACATCTTGTTCTCGGATCGAGGAACAATGTGAATCGAGCGCGTGCGTCGCTTGACTTTTATCATTGCACGTTAGGTCGCGTGTCGCCTCTCTTCCTTTCTTTTCCCTCCTTTCTTTCTTTCTCAGCCGTCCGTTCGTCGCGAAGGGGTGTTGAATTTTTTTCCCGTCCGTCCGCGCGCGCACTCGCGCGGAGGCTGCTTTCTTCTTTTATGTCCTCCGAAGTAGCCTGAATTGCCCGATAAGCATCGCATGTCGTATACAACGAATATTTATAGAAGCGAATTTTGCATTTTTATTCTGATTATGCGCATCGTGCGGGCCGGTTAAGTGCCGATTGTTGCGTGTCACGTTGGCACGTACATTCGACTGAGGGATGAGGTGGCGGAAAAGGGAGGGTCTCGCAGAGACGTAATATCGTGATACGCGACATCGAAAGTCCTCGTGGTAATTGCATTTTTTAACATAAAGAACCGGCGCGTTGCGCCGTCCGCTTAAAATTGCGCCGAAAGGGAGAGAGAGAGAGAGAGAGAGAGAAAGAGGAAGAGAGCGAGAGCGATACCTTACGCGGTGAAAATCAATAATGAGCCATAATAACGGCGCTGTTATTGTTAGCGGCGCGTAAATGCGAGCACATGTTGGCGAACGTATGTGTATATGTGTGTGTGTATGTGTGTATTTGTGTGTGTGAATATGAGTATCTCTCTCGTATCGCGGCGTATTTTGAGCGACGTAGTGCGCGAGCTACATGGTACGCGACTGAGGCATCCGACGACCCGAAGACAGTCCCTCCATTTTTCATACGCCGACGCGTATGTGCCTTTGCTGAATTATTCATTATGTTAAGTGTACCTACTTGATCTTGCAGCCGGAAGGTCGAGGGAACTTCTCTCCAAAACGGAGAGACTCCGTCCGAGATCTCGAGCGTAAGGATGATTAATCGATTCGCTCTCACAATCTGCTGATTACGACGTGCGCGCGCGTTGAATTAATAAAGATAGCGGAATCTCACTTTTCGCCAAACTTTCTTGCACTCAACACCGTTTACCAGCCGACGTCGCTCTCATTTCATTTTTCTATCGCGAGCGATTCGCTCTTATTTCTTTTTTCTCGCTCGCAGGAAATCGCCGCGATCCTGATCAGTTTTCAGAGGCACGCCGAATGGCAGAGTCGGGAGGTAAAAGTACGACCACGAAGTGGTTCGATGTTACTGTACTCGAGGAAGAAGGTACGCTACCGGCGGGACGGTTACTGCTGGAAGAAAAGAAAAGATGGAAAGACTACACGGGAGGATCACATGAAACTGAAGGTGACTACTTAAATATATGCATATGCATGTTTCGAGTATTTCGAGTATTACTATAAATGATGAACTTTATATCGCTGTATCTTCCAAACAAAATGATCAATAACTCTGGAATTTGTGCACAATGTCTGCATATTAATCTTTAATATTATAGTGTTTTTTCGTTAAAATCTTGTTTTTACTGTAGAAATTAAAAGCCCGCCAATTTTAATGGAACACTCGAAAAAGTGTTAACTTTAGTTACAAATATCTCAGTCCTCGAATGGTTAACCTTTTTCTAATTGCACGAGCAATGAGATAATGTTTCAATGTACACAATATACACAGTGCAAATTTCATCGAATTTTTATCAAACTCATTTCACCTCAACCCTCCTTTAAAGTGGAATAACTTTTAATTCAGGCTCTGAATTACCGTCAAACTGTCGGCGTTACTTTCAAATGCAATGTAGATCAATTTGTAATTTTTTCATAATATTTTCACTATTTTGAGTTGTGGACAATGCATCTTTAAATTGTCGCTTGACTATCGTGACATATCGTAATTGAGCGATAATACCTGGATTCGATCGCAGGTTCAGGGAGTCGAGTGCATCTATGGCTGTTACGTGCACTCGGCGATCCTGCCGACGTTTCATCGCCGGTGTTACTGGCTACTGCAGAACCCGGACGTAGTCCTCGTCCACTATCTGAACGTTCCTTATCCGGACGGCGATGCGAAGCTGGCCGCCCTGCCGCCCTGTCTCGCATTGCCGCCAGACAAGAAGGAGTGGACGCGGGACGAGTTGGCGTCGCAATTAAGGCCCATGTTCCTCGGCGGGGATGACGACCCGAACAATCCTCATCTCACGCAGCACTCGAGCCATCCCGTCGACATGATAGTCTCTCAATTGCTCGACAGGCAGAGGGCATCCTCCACCTCCTCCACCAGCAATACTCAACTCGCACCTAGGAGACTTACGCCCGACAATCAGGTTCCAACCGTAGTTCGCATCGAAGTGTCATTTGTACGCAGTCATTCAGACCTCCGTGAATGTGCCTATCGAGATAACTTGGAGAACTTTTACACTGGCAATTTTTCATGACTTTGTCATTTAAAATGCGTGTCAAGATAAATTCTAGAAATTCAATATTTTATTGGCTCTCTTAGAATTAAACGCCGTTGGCTAATTCTATGATTAGTTCACGAGTGTTCGCGTCTGTCCTTATAACGAGATCTTTAAAAGATATTTTATACTGTGTATAAATGACACGAAGATTGTCTAATTTATGTACATTTTATTTCGTGTATGGAATAAAACGAACATTGCATAAATCTATCTATATACATATATATTTTTATATACTTTTGCGTACTTTTACTCATTTTTATCAGGGGCTTGCTAAAGTTCATCGAATATTTAGTCATGTTTCTTATATTAATATTAATACGAAATAGTATGTATCATATTGTCTGAACCCGCGTCTGTGAATAACTCATCCTCGGAGCCGGCGAGACGAACTTTTGCGAGGGATCCTAATATATACTTACCTCTTTTCAAACAGGTCTCTTCGACAACGGGAGGTCAGCAACCGTCGACGACAGCTGCTCCCGCCCCCCGCGTGTACTCAAGACATTCACATTCCACTCAGAGTCAACAGCCGGCTCCTCTAGTTTTAAGTTTGCAACAAATCCAAGGCGGAGGTGGTCTTCTGATACTTAACAGTCAACCATATCATCACCAGCAGCAGCAGCAGCAGCAACAGCAGCAGCAGCAGCAGCCGCAGCAGCAGCCGCAACAACAGTCGCAACAGCCGCAGTCGCAGCAGCCGCAGCAACATCAACAGCAGCAGCAGCAACAGCAGCAGCAAAATCAGCAGGTGGAGATGCAACAGGTCGCGGAACAGCAAATCGTGCCGCAGACCAGCGTCGATAGGGAACAGCAGACGCAGCAGGAGATCGACGCGCAGGAGAACATGGAAAGGTCAGGCGTGCAGTCTCTGCCGATCGGCGGTTCTGGCACCGAGGTCACCGATTTCGCGGAGACGCTGGATCTGAGCCAGGAGGACATCCAGAGAACGCTCTCGGCCAATATGGTGCCACCGTCGCCGTCGCCCTCGCCGGCAGACAACAGCATGATCAATCCGATGGACTTCATCGACTCGTCGGACGACGTGCTGGTCAATCTGGACGCATTCGACGTATTCGGCGACCTGCCGGAGCTGCACGACTTCGAGGCCGATCAGGCGAAGCACGAAGAGCGGGGTGGTCCCGAGAACGACGTCGGATGTCATCCTGGTACAACCGTCCATATTGCAGAGTATAGTCCTGAGTGGAGTTACACCGAAGGCGGTGTAAAGGTACGTAGATCTACAGTCGGCGTCGTGTATGCTGTATTATTCCCTAGATTGAATCTTTTTACTATCACACAATTTTTAGCCTTTCACGCGTATTCGTCAAGTTGAAACTATTATAATTAGAGTCATCATAATCCTATTGATATACCTAGAATTACTTCTGCAATTTTCAATCTTATGTGCTCTATATGACCGGTCACAAAAAGATTGCAACATTTTTTAAAAATAAATTTCGGAATGGATCAGAGGTGTGTCTAATAGGAGAATTTGTTTCTTAGTAAGGTAGTAGGTAGTAGTTTTCAGGAGATACATTTTCTTATTGGATACGAGATACGTTGTAAATCTCATCGAAAAGAATATTGTAACCTTTTTGTGGCTCATTATATAAGGTTGAAAATCATATGACTCTATTTAGGGAATGGTACATCATACATGACGCTGATCGTACTTGAAATTAAGAACAGTGCTTCAGTCAACCGTGAGAAAATCTGCAGTTAAATTGATACTTGAATAAATGGGTTTGAATTTAAGTTGAGTCGAAGCGATGGAAACTTCATACTCGGGTAATTGAATTCTCGGACACGGGATGGCGATACTTCAGCGTCGGTGAGGGTTGTCCTCGATTACGCTTTTCGTCCCGCGGTTTTCCAGGTATTAGTCGCCGGTCCATGGACCGGTGGTAGTGGTTCCCAATCGTACTCGGTGCTTTTCGACGCGGAACCGGTCGAAGCGTGCCTCGTGCAGCCGGGTGTGCTGCGTTGCCGGTGTCCTGCGCACGCACCGGGGATAGCGTCCCTCCAGGTGGCTTGCGACGGTTTCGTCGTGTCCGATAGCGTAGCCTTCGAGTACCGTAGAGCGCCGACGAGCGAACCCAGCCCAGAGAAGGCCCTGTTGGACCGTCTTGCGGACGTCGAGGCGCGTCTGCAAGGACCAGGTCCGCCGTCTCCCGCGGCTCATCTGGAAGAGCGACTGGTTGCTTATTGCCAGGTACCGATCGCCCCACTTTAACCCTCTAATAGTAAGGTAGAGTCAGACTGACCTCACGGCTTCATTTATTTTACAGCATGCACGCTTCTCTTCTTAAGGAAGTTTCACGTTATGATTTCTTTTATTCATTTTATATATTGATTACACGAGAAATGAATAATACAGAGCTTGGGGTCAGGTTCGACCCCATTTTCCTGAATACGTTGAAAATCCACCTTGCGATCAGAGGATTAGAAGAGCACTCTTCGCGATCGGAAATTGAATACTCGCGACTTGAATATCGTAGTTCATCACAGACTGACAGTTTTTGCCTGGCGAACGTTCCAGGATGCTGTTGTCCGTCCTTGGCGAGCTGGAGCGGAACCTCTTCAATCCGGCGGGCCTACCCTCCTGCACCTGGCGGCCGGATTGGGATACTCCAGGTTAGCCTGCGCACTCCTTCACTGGAGGGCGGAAAATCCTAGTAGCGTTTTGGACGCCGAGGTCGATGCTCTTAGGCAAGATAGCGCCGGTCTCACGCCGCTCGCGTGGGCTTGCGCGGCGGGACACGCCGACACCGCCAGGATTCTTTACAGGTCAGCCCCCGGGGAGCCCGCGAGCGCTCACGATCCAACTCGCGATAGCCTCGTGTATCGCTATCGGTCGTTGAACGACTGCTTCTAACCGGCACTCGTCGTCGTGCTGTTGCCCTTCGCAGATGGAACGCAATGGCGCTTCGCGTGAGGGACTGTCAGAACCGAACAGCGACCGAGCTGGCCGCGGATAACGGCCACACGGCGATCGCCGAGGAACTCAATCAGCTCGAAGCCCGCAGGCAAGACGAGAGGCTTTTCTTGCGACCCGCCAGCCCTAGTCCTAGGAGGCCCTCTCAAGACAGCGGTCTCGATCTGGCGTTGTGTTAGTCTCGTTTGCTATTATACCGCCCTTTCTCTTTCGTATATACACAGACAGACCCACAGCATACAGACCTAAACACATTCACACATTTACACACGGCTTTTGTATTCTGATACCATATATATATATATATATATATATATATTCACACGTCACCCTTTCGTCGCGTCCCTCTTGCCGATTACTCCTCCCAGCGCCACACATACTCTCCTCCGCCACTTGTGTGTGTCTAGAAAAGAGCGTAGAGTCACAAAACAAGGCCGTAAGTCACGCGAGAGCGATAAACGCATCATCGGGCATTTAAGTGGGGTTTATCGAAAAACACAGGTGGCTCGCCGCTGCTGGACAACATGGAGTTGTTGCAAGAGGATGAGTCGTCGTTAGGCCTCAGCGAACAGGGAATGGAGAGCGCTCCGACCCCTCAGGAGACCGTAGGTCCGTACCTTCCTCGTTTCCTCTTCTATTTATCTGTCTGTCTGCCTGACTGTCTGTGAACTATCCGTGTAAACCTGTCTGTTCTGTCTGTGACACACTACCGATAGACCGGGTACCGGCCTAGACGAGAAACCACGTAATCACGTGAACTGCGATTTCCGTAGAGCTCCTAGATGAAGCTGCGTTCCTCATTCACAGACCCACACAGCAAACATACACACACATACACACTGATACACAGTTTTTGCACACACACGACATATACACTTATACCCGCAATACAATAATATTCTCTTTTTTTTCTCTCTTTCTGTGTGCGTACATGACGACCGGACTCGGTCGACGGCTCCGCTGCCTTCTTTCTAACTCTCTCCTCTGAACTCTCGCAGCTTGAACAATATTGGTGTTGCTTGGCCTTCGTAATCGCGCTGGTGTTGGATGAATTGCTGTGTAAAGTCTAAACTTTCCTAGCCACCCGTCATCGTCGACCCTGTACCGTGGGCTGCCGCGGCGTTCTCGAGCAGCGACGATCTCCGTGGTCTCTTTCTCTCTCTCTCTCTCTCTCACACCCTCTCTCACTCTGTGTGTGCGATTGGTTTTTTAAACGGCTGCTGTAGCGCGACTCATGATCCAAGCGAACTCTTGACATGTCAACCGGACAGGACAGATCGCGATCTGTTCGGCCGATCCATGCGGATATGTCGCGGCTGCCGGGGCTCACACCATGACGAGACGACCTCCGGCAACGAGTAGGGCGACAGTAGGGCGCATTCATCAGCAACTTTACTTTTAGGCCGAGATCTCGGCGGTGTGCGAGCGGGTTGCTGCCGCGGCTATTTCACTTTTCGACATCGAGTCATCCTCGACCGCCTCGTAGACACGTTCACGGCTTTTCTAAACCTCGATGTTGTGATCTCGATGTGTGACTTCGGCGGCCTGGCCCCCCACGAGCTTTTCGAGTTTCGCTAGGGTAGTGATTCCTTTTTTATAGGGGAGGAAGACGCGAGGGTGCTGACATTGGCGGAGCAGATTATAGCGGCGCTACCGGAAAGGATCAAGAGGGCGGAAGGTGACTCTCCGTCTTCCACTTCGCCACCGCCTCCGGCGGCGCCTCTGTCACCCTTGGAGGATGCTTTAATGGAACAAATGGTGAGTGAGAGCGCCCTGGCGATACCGGCCGCGAGCCCGGTTAATGCCGATTAATCGCGCGAACGCGAAAACTTCGCCGCGCGTAATACAGTCCTCGTAACGCGACGATCCCGAGGAATTGTAGGGACCCGCCTCCCCAGATCCAGATCCCGGAATACCCGAATAATTAGGAGTAAAACTTTCCCGAGGAGGAGACGTGCTGCGTCCCCCTCTTTTTCTCTCTCTCTCTCTCTCTCTCTTTCTCTCTGCCCGGCAAACGAGAACGCCCAAGTTTCTAAGTCTCCCGCTCACGAAGACTCAATTTACATACTAATCGACCTGCTTATAGCCCCTCGACTCTGGAGAATTGTTCGACTCGTACCGCGACTGCAGCGGGGGAGCGGCGTCGGTTTCGGACGCCGACGCCGAGGCCAGTCCCTCGAGTCCGTCGAGTAGTTGCCTGACTCCGGATTCGCCGTCCCCGCCGCCCACCACCGCCGACTTCTGCGAGTTCCTGCAGCTGCAGCTGCAGCTGGACGGCGGCAACGGCCACAACGGGCAGTACTACTCGACGAACGGCTGCGGCGAACGCAAGCTCAACGGCATGATCGGCATCTCGGGGGCGATGGCCACTGCCGGCAACGGCGACGGCAACGAGGCCGACCTCAGTAGACTGACATTGTCCGATCGCGAACAGCGGGAGCTTTATCACGCCGCCCGGATGATCCAGAAGGCGTATCGAAGCTACAAGGGTCGTCAGAGGCAGGAGGAGGCCGAGAGGCACGCCGCCGTTCTCATCCAACAATACTATCGCCGTCACAAGCAGTACGCTTATCACAGGTAATTCTCGTCTTCTCACTCGCGAGACGATTCTTTCTCTCGCTTCTTGCGGTCGCGAATTTCGATCCCTACGGTTACTCTTGTATTTATTTTCATATCGTCACTTTATTTTACATTATTGCATTATTTTTATTATTATTACGTTATTATCTGGTATTTTAGGCTTTTGCGATGTGGAGAAATATTTATTTTGGTCTCCGAATTAGCAAAGTCTGCGTCTTTCATGAATTTGTTTCCGAAGTTTCTCGTGAATATTTTAGTTCACTCGTTTAAGGTGAGGGACAACCTGAAACTGTTTTTTTAGACGGGGACTGAATTTCAGATCGTTCTTCAAGCCGAACAAATGAGCCGAAATGTTCACGAAACGTCGGAAACAAATCCATGAAAGACACTAATTACCCAAATTAAGTATCTTATATGTTATTATTAGGTTGGTGCGTATGAAATGTTAGATTTTTAAGTGAATATATAAAACTGCATATCTTTTTTCAAAAGTTGTTTATTTAATCAAAATATGCTCCATTTGCTTGAATACACTTTTCCAAATGAGATTTTAATGTATAAATGCCTATCTTAAAGAAATTCTGATCTTTGGAATCAATATAATCTGATATGGAATTTTTCTGACTGTCTTCATTTTCATAGTGTTTAGCCCGTAAAAACAGTTCTAAATGTTTAAAAAATGAAAGTCGGTTAGTAAAAAAACATCTGGTGAATAAGCTGCGTGTTGCAAAATTTCATATTTTAACTCATTTAATTTTGCAATCGTTTTGTACGACGTATGCGGCCGAGCGTTGTCGTGGAGAAGTATTGGGCGGTACCCACTTATCCATTTTTTTCACCTTGCCAATTTCAGAAAGGTGTCGCAATATTGTTGTATAGTCGACTTTCATTCTGCTAGCAAGTTCCCTTGTAGATACAGTTGGATTCGTTTCTACCAATGCTTTGAGAACATCATTATTCACAGATGTTTTAGGTCTTCTACGCGGTTCATTTTGTAGGGAAAAATCACCAGACCGAAATTTTTCGAACTAACGCTGCACTTTTCGTTCGTTAACAGTATTCTCCCCAAACGCCTGGTTTATATTGCGTGTAGTTTTTGCAGCATTATTGCTAAGTTTATACTCATATAAAAAAAATTATACGAATATCGGTTGAATTCATATCCGTACAAAATTCAAAATAGATAACAGAAGGGCACACTTTTGAAAAAATCTTTGTTAAAATATGACTCTGGCAATGGACAGTACGACTGTAAAAGAGGTTATGCCAAAAACAAAAGCATAACGAAAGCAGGGAGACAAACGTTCACATGTAAAGAAAATCCGACATTTCATGTGCACCAACCTAATATATTTATTATTATAATTTATATTAAAATTATATCTCTTTGATACAACATATATAATTACATCAATATAATTATACCAATATAATTATATTAGTATAATTTATGTTAATATAGTTAGATCAATATAATTATACTTATATTTACATCTCTGACATGTTTCGTACAAACGCTGGTATTTTTGCATTACTTTCCGCAAAATCTTGACTTCTCTTAGGACTCAGGACACAATGAAAGAAGTAAGGAATAAAAAATTAAATATAAAGAATCATATGAATGAGGAATCTTTAATTTTAATATATATGGACAACCATGCTTCAGTGCACAATAAAGGAATAGAAAAATAAGACTAGGAATACTATCGAGATTCTATTACTTTATAACCTGTATGTTTATAAGCTGAATAGTTAACTGAAAGTTAATCTTCATAATATGCAATGGTGGACAATAAAAGTTGAATAGAAAGTGAAACGTTAAAAAACGTTAAAACGTTTAAGAATGCTTTAAGAATGCTTCAAAGCGTTCTTATACATTTTATTCTCTATATATTCCTCTTTTATTGCATTTTAAGCTACATCTTATTCGTAATATCTTAATGCTATATTTCTCCACGTGTAATTCCTTATTCCTTTCATCGTGTCAGCTCTTACTCGGAAGATTCGTTGAAGAACGGTCTGAGCGCGCTCGTTCGTTCGCCCGCTCGTCTGACCATGACGGTATTATCTACTGGGCGCGATGCATGCCAAGTAGATACGGACGGACGGATACGGACAGACCTCGTCAACGGGTCTTGATACGTGTTCTCCGGATTGCGCGAGCTCAAGGTTGTTAAGTATGACAGATTATTATCTCGCATCGCGGAGACATCGCCAAATTGCTTCGAACTCGGAAAGTTAAATTTCCATCGATATCCCGCCGCTGTACAGAAGGGGAGGAATCGGTTGTCTTAATAAGCGACAATTAATAACGGGGAGCAAGACGTACCATTGTGGGCCGACTTAACGACCTGACTGAATTAGACTGATGTTACCAAAGTTCGACCCGTGTACCTCTCGGGGCAAACTTTTAATTGGCATCGTAAATAATTCGGAAACTTTGCGAACTCGCCCGCCTCCGCCCACGGTGGCCTGAATACAGAATTAAGTTGGCATTAAATTAATACGACTTTCACCGAAGACGGAGACCCCCGGTGGGTCGGCTCGGTTTGGCTGCCTTGCTCCTCGTTCATCGCCGAACTATACACGGTCCGAACTTCCCGGTGTAATGTCTCTGAAATTAGTTACAATCAGCGCGCTGTACGTACATACACGTACGTTATCATCGCGGGATCTTCGCTGGGAATCGCGAACACGGAGCGGGCGAAGGGATCGCGGGCGCGCAGCCAATTCCAGCTGTCATCCGACGACGAAGAGCGAAGGTCGAAATGTAATACCGTTTCGACGAGGGCGCTTTCAATTTTCCGTTTATAGCGTCGTCGCGTGCTGCGTCCCGCTCGCTCGCTCGAAACTTTTTACACGCCGGCAATTATTCCTGCCTTTTCGGCTTGCAACGAAACGCCTCATGAACCGTGTCCTGTGTACGTCACAGGACGTTCCTGTGTAAACCTTTTTCTTTCCGCCAGCCGCTTCTTAATTGTCCGATTGATATTTCTCCTTACAGACAAGCTACGAAGGCGGCCCTGGTGATCCAGAACAACTATCGGAATTACCGCGCGCGGCCAGGCTCGGCCGGCACTCGGCAGCAGACGGTCCATCAGCAGGCGGCCCACCAGGCGGCGCGGAAGATCCAGCAGTTCATGCGCCAGTCCAAGATCAAGTTAGTATCCCCGGGCGCGCGCGTGTACGTGCTGCATTTCCTGTTGCAACGATGTGCACGCACAATTAGTTACGTAGATGAGACATTACTCGTTTAGCACACGAAAGGCTTATACGTACGAAAAGAGAAACGACATGTAAAAGTTCTAAAGTCTCCCTCTTCTGTGTGTACTAATGCAGCTTGTCGTGGGACGATTCACGACCGGTAAGTAACGACCGTAAGCAGTAGTGGGGCGATTGTTTCGGCGAAACAAGTGCTCGTTTATCGTTCCTGTCTCTTCCGCCGGAGGGAATTCGCTCCGTCGCTTCCGCCGTGTTACGTGTCCCCCGACGCACCCTCCTCCCCCCTCCCCTGTTTCACGGCGCACGAATTAACGAGTTACATATGTCTACACGTTATATCCCGGGACCCCGTGTGTTGTGTAACGTGCCTCGGCCGCACGCACTCTGACGGTGCTTCGTGTTTACTGTTTCTGAATGTCTCGTCGGTATATTCAGTGTCTCTTGTACAACGATACCGTGTTAACCGTGTTGCTTAATCTACGTAGAAACCACCGAGTTCCTTGATGATCACCTTGCCGACAGCCCGTGCGTGGATACGTCGTGAGAAAGAGAGAGGGGAGGGAGCGAGCGTGCAATTTATATACGCGCAATGCGAATAATTGCAGAACCGACGCTCGGCGCTTGCACTTTGATCCGCGGCTGCTGCTCCCGGAAGTATCATGGCTTCAAACAATTCGAAATATTCAAACGGCTCCCACGGGAGGAGTCGCCACTAATTTAAATCTAAAGACCGAGTAAAATATATTTTGTCGAACGTTAAATATATCTTATTTTCGTGCGCTCGATTTAATTTCTAACGCATTGAAACTTTCGCGAAGATTTATCAAGCTTGAAATGTTTCCTAGTGCTCTGAAAATATGAATAGGAAGATCTACTGCTTGTCTACTCGCGAAGCGGGATAATGTTCCAAAAGTTTTAACATCGTCGTGCGGAAAGACAGACTTGCTTGAAATTGTTTAGCTCATTTCGTTCCTCTGTTCCTATATAGATAGGAGGAGCAAATTTACCTACCTCCAAAAATGTATTTATCTATGATAAAGGTAAATTCTGATCTAGATCCTGTTACTGAAATATAATTTGGACTTTTATTTTTCGGAAAATAATTTCATTTGGCCATTACTTACTCCCCCCCTATGTTGATAGGTAGGGATTGATAGATGGAAAATAAGCTTGCAACCCTTTTTAATTCATTGTTTCACCTTTTTATTTAATTCATTAAAAATAGTAAAAATTAAAAAATTGAAAAAACAATGATGATGTTGCCAAAAGTTCAAATCGTTCATAACGACCACTCCCGTTATGATATAGTTCACCAGGTGTACGCCAGGTGTCACCCAAGGTAGATGCTGCGACTATTTCCCGGGGAAAACGGTTGGTCGGGAGATCCGGATTTTAGGTTTCTTGAGTTCCTTGAGCCCCAATTACCGTGAAACGGCACTTGGGCCTCATAGATCTCAATATTATCGCAGCCCGGCCCGAAATGGGTTAATATTCACGCGAGGAGAATTCGGGCGCCCAACCGGGAAGCACGATAGATACGATGTAATTAGCTCGCGTTGTTCGCTAGCGGGTTGGCGCAAAGTGTCGATCATCGGGGAACGCTTAGATGCGTTTCAACCACTGTGTCTCATGTGGTCGCCGGTATTATTATATTATTTGCCTGATCACTCGGTGTTATACGTGTGCGTATACACGCACACGCACACACACACAAAGATATACCTATATACATCCAGCTAGACACTCAAACGCGCGAATATGAGATGCGCCGTCTGCGCGTAATCGTATAATGCGTATATTTCTTGAATCAGACTGCAGAACGCCAAGGCCGTCGCAAACGGGAGCGGGAGGCAGCCAGCGGTCACTTCGCGGGTGGCTGCTGTCCCCCAAAGCTCGCCCTCATCTAGCCCAGGGGCCAGCCTAGTAGCCGCCAACCCGGAGGTCACCTAGTCGACTGCCAGTCCAACGGCACGCGGAGCGGCGACGACGGTTCGCTAGTTAAGTAGACGACGACGGTAGCCGCGTGGTGGCCGTGAAATAAGGAGGAGGAGAAGCGCACGGATGCGCTCCGAAAAATCCGAGAAGCCGTCGCGACGCTCTTCCCAGACGGAGGGAGAGTTTCACCTGACCCCGCGACCTCGACGAGGTCGTTGGCGACAGCAGCAGCAGCAGCAACAACTACTACGGGAAAGGGTACCAGACGTACGACACGGATCACACGCTTCGTCTCTGATTTGCGTACCCGGTTGTTGACCTACCTTTTCAAGTCTCTTATCATAGTTTCAACCTTTTGTCCCTTACACACACAAGCACACACGTACACACGACACACCACATACGCTGAGTTAACACTGCTCGTGCACACAGCGCGGATTTCATCTTCGATCGCTCGTTCGTTCCGCTTGTACCTTACTCTACCTACTATTCGCGCGTTTCCGCATCCCGTTGACGCGAGCGATCGATACGAACGAGCATAGTGGGATCAGTGGGACGGATATCTGTCCCATCTGTAGGCTCAGGTCGACGGCGGTGTGCACTCGAGGTGGCTACTTGGGCGAAGATTAGCGATGAAGCGCCAAGTCGATCGACTCGAGGCATGCTTGTAGAATACACACACACAAAACACACATACACACACGGTTTTATCTTCCGCTTTCTACGATATGTACGCGATCGTAAGGTAACACGTAGCGCGCGAGTCACCGCGCGAAAAGCGCGGATCCGCTTTCCCCGGCACGTACGTTATTTCTTCGGTACTTACGTACGACTCTACTTGCGACGCAGCATCGAAGTCGATGAGTCGTTGCTCGCGATACTTCACTCGCATCTTCTCGTGTGCATCGAGCTGAATCGCACAAAAAAAATAAAACGTTGTCGCTTTCGTAGGTAGATAGATAGATTAGGGTAGGTAGGTAGGGTAGGTAAGTAGGCTCGGGTAGCTCGCGGTGGCTTCGTCGCCTGCGAGCGAATTTCCGCAGTTCCGTAGAGATCTCTCTCGTAAACTGAACTACTATTTCTTCGGCACGAGGCTCTTCGTAGGCGTGTTTCTCCTTTGATGACACCGGTCGACGGGTCGTATCTTTTCTCCTTCATTCTTTTCGACGCAAAGAACGCCGAAATTGACCGCGTGTGCGCGCGAGTGCAAACCCGAAAGTGAAGACGAGTCGAACGTCGCACGTTCGCGATTGAAAATCCGCGTGATGAACGACGATGACGGTTCTCGGCCCGTGTTTCGCGGCGAATGACATTCGAGACGCAACGGCGACGTCGGTCGAGGCTTTCTTTGTCCGAGAAATCTCGTTGACTGGTGTCATTGGCATTCTACCGATCGCGCATTGATACACAGTTTTGCCATTTCCCGTGCAGAAGGGTGTATTCGTGTACAACAACTGTGTTACATTTCTTTCTCCGATACGAGTGGCCGGCACTCACTGATTACACGTACACGTACACGTACACCACGTAATTCTCACTTGCATAGGGAACAGCCGATACTTTCCATTCTTCCTTAACGATAAATACGTTCGTCGATTTTCGCTGCCGAGTTCGCCGTATAGTCGGCTCAGACTGCAGCAGCAACAACAACGTCAACGTCTCGGCGCGGTTCTTGTCTCCGGCGGGAGAGAGAGAGTACGAAAGGCGCTTATCTTAAGTTCACGCGCGAATCCGAGCTTGAACGTTTACCGGACGTGTTTCGTACTTTACATTCGCGTGTCAGGGCCCGCCAGGAGAGCCAGCTGACGTCGATTGGCGTCGAGTATAAGGGAGGAACGCGCGCGAATTCGGAGCGAATACGTGAGATCGAAGACTCCGAGAGAGCTGGCGCTGGGTCACGTTTCGCGACGAACGGATCAGGACAGGTCTGGAGAACGACGTGCGAGAAAAGATGAGCGCTCGGCACGAATCGGGATGCGAGATTAGACTTGGTACTTCTCGAGATTAGCTTCTGATTTCCGATCGGTATTATTGTCCACGTCCATTTTTTATATTTTTTACAAGAGGCGTGCATTAGAGATTAAATTTAAGTAACTCGCGTGAGCTGGACGCGCGTTCCTATCGTTCAGCGTGAGAGAAAGTGAGAATGTGAGAGAGAGAGAGAGAGAGAGAGAGAGAGGATGAGAAAAAAAGAGAGGTAGGGAGGGAAAAAGAGGCGAAAAATGAAGGAAAGAGCACCGACCGACTGGTAACGCAGCGTCGTGAATCTATTTGTACATACGTATTTAGGTGCGAAACGTACTTGACGTTCATCACGTAGCGGAAACGGTCTCTTCCATGCGCGGGAATTCGTTTCGTTCGAACGGAAACCGGGAATAGGGAAGATGGGAGGGGCTACATGTCAATCTTTGAGAATTTTAGAGAAAGAGCGAGTAAGAGAGAGCAAAGAGGCGGGGAAAAGAGGGGTGATGAGAACGAGAGTGACGGGAGGCAAAGAGAGAACAGCAGTTTTTACGTGAACGAGGTAGCTACTAGAAGCGAAAGACTGGAGGGACGAGAATCGAGAGCGACGAGAGGAAACAAAAGAGAGGATGAACGACAAAATGAAAAAAAAGAAGCAGAGAGAAATAATAAGAGAAACAGGCCCTTCGTCCAAAGGGCGCAACTTCATCCACGGGCTGTGCTAGTCACAGTATAATCAACTTCGTAGAGTTACTTCTAGAACGTAAGGCTAGTCGATTACACATTGTTACAAAAAACTACCTACCGTTTCTCTCTCCGATAGGGGATTTTTTTAAAGGTTCTCTAGCGTAAAAGAAAAAAAAAAAAGAAGAAGAAGAAGGTAATTTAGCGGTTAATTAAGGGCGTAGTTGATTGTGGACGCGCGCGATCTCGCGCGATCGCGCGAAGGCGGCGGCAAGCCGCGGTTGTCCCGCGTTCAAGTTCTGATCGGGGGAGGACAAACGTCTATTGTGATAAATTAATGGTGATCCAAGAAAGTATTTCCGCGCAATGAGACATGGGGAAACTAATGAAGGAGAAAGAAAAAGAGAGGGGGGGGAGAAAGGGGCGAGAAAGAGACGAAATGAGGAGAGCAGGGAAAGAGGAAATTACGTCTCCGACATGGGGAGGCGGAAAGACGGACAGACGGACGGACAGATAGATAGGTAGATAGATAGATAGATAGATAGACGGATACAAATCCAAGCTAATGGTGAGTTGAGATTATGCCGTGTGGAATCTGCCTTGGAGGGGCGAAGGTCGAGGGACTTATATGCGGACATCGCGCGATGGCGCGATGTTACGAACGAACTCGCTGATTTGCCGGGTTACTTCGAGAAACGGAGATTCACCCCGTATCGACCACCTTTCCCCTCCAGGATAGTTTTCGCAGAGACAGCAGGTTGTGTGAAAGAGAAGAAAAGAGAGACTGGACGTGAGAGAGAGAGAGAGAGAGAGAGAGAGTGAGAGAGAGAGACTTGGAAGCGAGGTAAAAGCGGAGCGCGAGGTGGTGGGATATTACTACAATATATTGTACACACGAGTCAATTCCAACGAGCATTTTCAATGCCATTATAAGCTTAAAGAGTTATTAGTTATTAAAGACGAGATACGCGCGGGATGGATTAGAGGTGGAGAAGAGAGGAGGAGGAGGTGGTGGGAGAGAAGAAGAAAGAGAAGAGTAAAGTGGAGGAGGAGGAGGGGGAGTAAAACAAATTCTTACACTCTTTTAATCATTGTTAATTAATTAAATAATCACGATCCTATCGAATACTTCAAATGAGTAAATAATAATTATTATATACACAAAACTATTATTATATTCATATTTTTGCTTATTACATATTTAAGAATCTAATTAAACGAGGGCTAGCGATTAATAAACGTAGCGGGAGGAAGAAGGGTACGGTGACGATGCGACCGATGTAAAGCGAGGTCTTGCGTTAAAGGGGAGTAAACTTTCATCAACCGGTCGGGCTTGTAAGACGCTCGCGATCGTGCGTGGCAATCCGGCCTCGAATTTCGCATACGAAGGGAAAGCAAAAATTTCTGACGACACGGCGTGCGCGCGCGCGGTCTCGGCGTAGGGCGGGAGGTACGCTGTCGCTTTTCCCGGGGTTACAGGAGGTCAAGTTGAATACAAGTATTTTTCACCCGCAGAACGGCGGACAGAGAACGACCCGACACCGCGCGGACCGATGTTACGCCGTTGTTCCGTGTAATCGCACGATTTCACCACGTACGCGCGGCCACAAGCTAGGCGAGGGATATTTGTGCACGAAGAGTGAAAAGGTCGGGGGTAGCGGAAAGTAGAAACTGACGGAGAGAGAGAGGGGAAGAGAGGGCGGAAGGAAGGGGAGGAGGAGGCAGGCCGCTGAAAAAAATAATCTTACTTAAAAAGACATCGCTAGGGTAGGCGCTTCGAGGATACATAAACTTTAAAAAGTCATTTAATACAAATTATTCTCAAAATATAAAAGAAGTTTAATAAGTAAAAGGAGAAGAGATTTTTAAATCTACGTAAGAAAGCCAAGAAGTCAAAGACGACTAGATGATAGGAGCCGCATGGCCTAACTGCTGCCACTTTAATTAATTAAATAATTAATTATAACTTTATTATACAATTATAACCTCGATAACACGTACACACAGATGGGAAATGGAGAAAGAGAAAAAAAAGAGAAACCTGTTATATACACACGCGGAATACGTACAGACACACAGAGAGAGACACACACGTACACTCTAAGTCATACCACTTTTCAAACTACTCTCTAGATGCAGAGACGAATCAGTAGGGTATATAATAGCGGACTATTAAGCAAGAGATAAAACTGAAAAAAATGAAAAAAAAAAGAACAGAACTAACTTCTCTCCTAAATCCGGGAACGATTGAGATTCGCGCTAAGAAGAAGAAGAAGAAAATAGAGATTAAAATATTTCCAATTGTCCAGTCTCCAGAATCGCACGAGACACGCGCGCGTAAGAGAGAGAGATCGCGCGAGGTGTCCCGTGGTTCTCGTAGTCGCGAGCCCGCCCGGGTTATTACAACCTTTCGCCGCCGTTTCGCCCCGACCGCGTTTCGAGGATCGCGCCCCTCGTGTGCCCACGGGGGACGAGCGAGTCTGATGCCGCGGGCCGGAAGTACGTTTCGTCGTATTGCGGGACGAGATATCGCGGCTTCGAATGCGCGGCGTGAAAGAGCGTGAAACGTAAGCGCAAAACACACGCACGCGCGCGGTCGTCGGAGCGGAACGGCTCCGCCGCGGCTCGAACGTCGTTCCGGCTCTATATATCTCGCAGAAACCTTTCCGTATATTTTTTACAAAATAAAGAGAAGAAGGAGGAGACGACGACGACGATGAGGAGGACGAGAGGGCGAAGAGAAGAAGACGAGGAATCGGAAGAAGCGCGAAAGTTCGCCGGCACGGTATCACCCGGAGCTTTCGTCGCGTGTCTCTCTCGTACGCGGTCCGCGCGCGGGGGCGCACGATTCTCGCGGGCGCGCGATCGCGCGAACACGCGACGCCTGGCGCGTCGCGCGCGTCACGATGTCGAAAGGGTCGAAACGATCGGATCGGTGCCTATCACGTTTGTACAGACACGGATACGACATGTACACACACACAAACACACGGAAGGAGGAAGGAAGACAGACAGAGACAGATGTAGATGCATTGACACGGAGTCACACGATCACAGAGAGAGAGAGAGAGAGAGAGACGTCACAAAGCCACGGGAACACAGAGAGATACAGAATTACAAAGANATTACAAAGACGGGAGGTTAAGGGGGGGGGGGGGAAGATGGAATGGGCGGTCTATATAATGGACAATTATATAGAACGGGTCTATAGACTCGTGGTGGAGCAGCTATATGGACGTACACATGTTCACGGAGTTACACGGAGAGAGATGCTAAATGACGCGATCACGAGAAATCACACAGAGACAAGCAATACAGGGATCACGGAAATTCGAAGCACACATAAAAATACACACACACATACACACAGACAGTGTTCCTTCGTCGCGACGGTCACTTTGTACCTGCTTGCTGCCTGCCTGGTCCGTGCTACACACGACGCTACTACTAGTCTCGCGTGGCGGCGTTCACACCTACCCCACAGACCCACAGACACACATAGGACACACAGACATTTCGCCTTTAAACTCCGCTCGACGATAATAACGTCCAAAGCATATCGCGCGTACTTTCGTTGTGATAAAATCGGACACCTCGGCGGCGGCCCCTCGCGCCGTCGCGAGGATCATTTCTCCGCTTCGCGGACGCGTGTCGGTAATAATATACGCTAATGATTTTTGCCATTTATCGTTCGGTCCCGTCGCCGGTTTCTTCGCGGATGGGAGGGAGAGCGCGATTCTCCCGCGAAAAGAGAGAACGTTCATGATAATGATGATGATGGTTTCGACGGCTATTTCGACATCAATCCGCTCTCGACGTTTCCGCGTTCCAGAATTCAGCCCGGCCCCGTGGGGATCTCGATCCCCCTTTCTCGTTACTAACGTAATCGCCTGGCCGGCGGACATCCTCGCCAGTGGACGGCAGAGGGTGGGTAGAAATCCTCTCGAGGGGGATCGAGATCGGTCGCCGGGATGGCTTTTAGAACAAGGGCGGCGTGTTAGATGCGGCACGTACGCTCTAGATTTTAGTGGAAACGAATAAACGGTAAAGGCTCCATCTCTTGTAATATTTTTATTATCGCAAGCGTAATATTATAAATATATAAATATATATATGACTAAATTATATATATTAAATAAAGGGATTACGCGCGCGCCACTGTTTATTATTTATTGACTAACGTTCGACTAATATTGTAAATAATAACGAAAATATTTTATCTATATTTCCGATCCGGGGGCGCCGGGCGGGGGCGGCNCCCTCGCGGCGGCCAATACGGCCGCCGTCTCGCCCGCCCCTCTATTGTTACACCATTTCATCATTGCATTTAATAAATTATATATTTATTGACTCACTCACCTTTTCACTTACCCTGACCTGACGGATCTCGTGCTTTCCTCACCTTCCTCCTCAAAAATCCCAACGCCTCTTCGAGACGCATAGTATCCTTCTTTTTCTTTACATGACTTATAAGAAGCTGAAAGAGAGGGAAATTGTTTCTTTTCACGATTAGAAATTCCGTAAGTTATAAGGAATGATTACACGCACCTGTCGACACCTTCTCGCTGAAGCATCTCGTCAGGATATCAAATATCTTCTCGTTGAACTGTAATTGATCGGCGCCCGGCAATCACTTCGTTCAGCAATAATTGACAGACTCCGATTGATCCGGAAACGAAACGGTTGTTACGGTTTGACCCGACGTGCCAGGTGTAGAGTCGTCTAACCGGACTTGAACACGGGGGAGTAATACGATTATGCAAGTTGGGGAATATCCGAGCAAATAATGATCTTAGAATACGGCGGTTGCCCGCGGTGCTTCTATTGATGCCGGAGATACCGAACTTCCAGTTCCGACTGCTCATCAGGCGGAGTGCCGAACTAGGATTTCACGAACTTCTCTAAGTTTAACAATCGTATTCACGTTGCGCAGGGGATGCAGCCGTCCTCCGCGTTTCTCGTTTTATCGTTATTATCTCTTGCCTGTCGCGCATATCGTTGCGCGTAGGAGATCTCTCGACGGGCTTTGCCGACGCGAGGAACTGTGACGAAGAAAAATCTACACTCGTCGTCTTCCTTCCGCAACAGTTTATTTAAAGCATACAAACGGTACAAACTTTACTTGCGTTGTCACTTTGAGTACAAATTAAATTAAATCGCTCGGATATATCGTGCGCGCACGAGAAAGAGAGAAAGAAAAAGAGGGAAGGGGGGAGAGGGGGAGATAACGGGAGACGAGATGAATGCGTCCAGGTGGCTGAGGAGGATGAAAAGACAAACACGGCCGTATATTTCGTTCGAAGCTGCCAAGCGGAGAATCGACCGGCGTCCAAGATCTCTTTCGGGAATTCCGGCCGCTCGCTGCGCGAGCGAGCGGCGCGATTCACGCGTCGTTTATGCGTTCTTGTTACGAATACGATCGCTGTCCTGTATTTTCGGGTGATCTTCTTATTCCTTTCTATCTTGCATCCATTCGGATATTCCATTCGTCGTGTGTCGCGCGTCGTGCACCGAGTATACGAGCCCGATGTTCGTCGAAATGACGCGCGTCTAACGATCGCGGCAAGCCGCGGGAGAAGTGAGGGCGGATCTCTGAACGTATCGCCGAATCTCGAAGCGTCGAGATCGGCCTACCTGAGGATACCTGTCATACCGAAGGAAGCAGTGTCCTTCCTTGTCTTTTTGTCAATTTTCTTTACCTCGTGACGATTAACGGGAAGTCTGGAGGGGGAAGAACGTTTGAGAGAGAAGGTAAGTGAAAAGTTTTCGAAATTCGAGTTCGAAATCATTCGCGCGGTAGATCCAACACTGCGTGAGAGAAATATTAGCGGGAAGTAAGCGGCGAGCTTTTTGTTAGTGTCGTTCGGTTAATTGTCGATGAATAAAAAAAAACGCTAAATTCCGGATTTTGCGTGAATCAATCGCGCCGACCGCCGATTATTCACCGGCCCGATAAGAAATGAATAGTGGTTAATTGCTGTTTCCACGACGATAGATTTTTCATGCGGTCAAATGGAACGACACGTGGCCCGTCGCGAAGCGACGAGGATTACTCCCGTGTTTTTATTCTACCGGATGTACCAGCGCGATAAATCTGTTATGTCATCAGGCGGCGATGAAGAGAAAAAAGAGAGAGAGAGAGAGAGAGAGAGAGAGAGAGAGAGAGCGAATAAGGGGGAATTACGTCGAACTTGGCGAGCGAAGATTCGCCAGAGGATTTTCCGACGGAGGAGAATTTCATCAAAAGAGGCAACTGTGTTAATATTCTAATGAAACGAGCGGTAAACGCGACGTCCCGTTCGTCGACGGAATCGCCCTCGCGGAAGTGTTTTGATCAAAACTCGCTGATTTGGAGAATCCTCCGTTTCACGACATGTGCGAGGTGTTTCATAACACGTGGTCATAATTTCAGAAATGAATTCACGGCATAAAAATAATATAAAAAATTCGCATAAACATTAGTCCTATATCTGATTTTGTTTCCGAGTTAGAGACGTTTTCGTGTTTCATTAATTTTCGTTACAAGCTAGCATAGCGTCTTCACACATTTCTGTCTTTAAAGGAAGTGCCCACAGTGGCCGCTTTTGAACTTGAAGACAAGCTTCTTAATGTCTTACCACTGATCTTCTGATACGTTCGAATTTGCAACCACTTCGATATGATGATGGAGTGCATCAACGTTATCTATTGTTGTATCATAAATTATAGATTTTAAGTACCCACGCGTAAAAATTCGGTGGATTTAATTCCGGTGACTTAACAAAGTTAACAAGTCTGACCAAGAAGTAGTAAAATATTTGTAATTCGAAAACAAAGATGTGACAAATATTTATATGAACTTTGTGTGTTGTTGTTGTACCCCGGATTCATTTCTGAAATTATGCCCACATGTTATGAAACACTCTTTATATTTATATTGAGCTAGAAACATTTTTAACTGTAGCTTCTTCGCAAGAATTTTATAATTTTCCTGTGGAGACATCGAAATCTTTTTTAACGTTTTAATCACACTTTTTCTATTTTTTTCTATTTTCCATTCTTATCCGTTGAGGGGATAGTGCTTGGAGTCGTTCCAACGACATCCAACTGCGTTAAATATTAGTCTTCGCGTGTTTTGGACTGTAAAATAAAAAAGTGAGAGTATTCAAAGTCATTGAGACTCAGCTTCAGGTGTGCTCGCTCGAGTTTGAGTCGTCGGTCTGATTTTTCACCGAGTATCCAAGAGCGTCAAACGTTACCCGGAGTTGTAACTCGACTTTTATCTCACTTTATTGATTGCGTTTACACGGCAACACCGGCTAATCCGGTTTAACAATAGTTTAGTAACAACCATAGTTATAATTTGTGTTTATCCCTCATTAGATGTAAACAAAGATAGAACACTTTAGCGCTGATAGCTTGTTCCCCGAACACACCTTAAACCGGATTAGCATTGTTGCATAAACGCAGTCATTAACATTCAATTAATAAACGCGAGCGTCCGTTTCGCGGTCGCTCCGATCGCACATGGCCAATCATAAGAAGGTTGCAACACTTTTCTTCTAACATGAATTTCACAGCGCATCTCGTATACGAAGAAAATATTGTAATGAAAATTATCGCAAAATCTTATAATGTTCAACTATACTTGCTAGATTATAACTGAAATTATGATGTGTGCTGTAATCTTTAGTGATGTCTTTCATTGGACATATCACTAAAGATCACAACAAATATCACAATTTCATTCATAATTCCAAGGTCCAGTATTATAAAATTTTGTGGTAATTTTTACTACAATATCTTCCCCGTGTATCCAATAGGAAAATGTATCTCCTGAGAAAAACAAATTTCCCCGTTTGGGCACGGGATGCGTTCCGAAACTTATAAAGAAGAAAAAGTGTTACAACCTTTTTCGTGACTGATCATAATACACATCGCGCGCGAGAATGCGAACGACGAGCTCAGAATACTTGGACCCGGTGATTCTCGCGGTCGCAGACGACGATGTTGCCGGTGGAGGTGACGGCGACGCCCTCGAGACCCTTGAACTCGCCGTCGCCGCTGCCCCAACAGCCGAAGGACTTGAGGAAGGCGCCCTCCGGGCTGAAGATCTGTATGCGGTTGTTACCGGAGTCGGCGACGACGATGTAGCCTTGGTCGTCCACAGCAACGCCCCGCGGGAACTTGAACTGGCCGTCCTCCGAGCCCTCCGAGCCGAAAGAGGTCAGCACGCGGCCGTTCACGTCGAATATCTGCACGCGGTGGTTGTTGCCGTCGCTGACGATCACCCGGTTCGTGTTGCTCACCGCGATGTAATGCGGGTGCTCTAATTGGCCGCGTCCGCTACCGCAGGAGCCGAACTTGCCCACGAACGTGCCGTCCGATTGAAATACCTGCGAGCGGTGTCCCGAGCGGTTTAGCCAGCGGTCGCCGGACCCGAAGGGCGGGGGAGCTTTTAACGATCGCGCGCGCGCGCGCGGCATCGGTAATTAAATAGTGAAATTATTAGGCAGGAGGAATTCCGGGGAATTCTACGGTCGATGACGTTGACACGCGAGAATAAGGCACACACAAGGACGTAAGTGATAAGACTTAGAGCCAGTTTCACAACCTTCGATTAACTTAATCGAATGATTAAATGTCAACTGTGATTGATTATTCCGGGCTAATTCTGCTTAAAGACAAATGCGATCGGTCAATTCCAATGGAATAATCAGCCGATTGAGTTAATCGGAAGTTGTGAAACTGGCCCTTAAGCAGTAAGAAAATCGGCCAATCACTTGATAAATTATCCTTCTTACGATCGAAGAATAATAGACTGTGATTGGTCAATTTACTCACTACTTACGTTTTCCCGAGCGCCATGGAACGATTGCGTCTGTTTCACCTCTGAAACGTTCATTTCTAAAGGAGACGCGGAAAAAAAACCGAAATTAAATCACCCTTTCTCTTTCCTTTTTTTTCACGGTGAAGAGACAGTTCGAGGAATCTCAGTACGGAATCAAATCGAGCGGCAAATCTCGACGCTCAGCCTTTTCCGCGAGAGGGCCGAGCGCTTCGACTTCTGCCGATTGGACGACAGCCTACCTGTACGCGATGGTTCTCCTTGTCGCACACGTAGATAAAACCGAGGGCGTCGGTGGTGATGCCCCAGGGATAATTGAAGCGACCGTCGGCGGTGCCCTGCGAGCCGAAAGCCCTGAGGAAACGACCGGACGGGTCGAGCACCTGGATCCTGTGGTTGTAACGGTCCGCGATGATGTACTGGCCGATCCGGTTTACGGCCACCCCGGCGAGGCAGTCGAATTCACCCTCACCGCTCCCGTACGTTCCGAACTCCTTCATGAAGTTCCCATTACCGTCGAATACCTGCGGGGGCAGAGGGGGCGCCCGGTTACATGCGGAGCGAGCGAGGTCGTTTACATCGATCGCGCGATATTAAAATCGGTCGACCGCAATAACAAGGAGTTTTCTTCCCACCCCGACGAGCCCAGCGTGCAACGAGACCGGCTTATTTACGATCGTCGATACCACGCGCGCGCTAGCCCCCGAAGCGCGAAGCCATCACCCTGGTGTCTCCGCTTTACACGCGCACCGGGGTTAACTATTATCGCTTCGAACGATCCCCGGCTGATTTATCGAGGCGTGCCTCGTTAGCGATAGCCGCCACATAGACCGAGAAGCGTCGAACTTGAGTAATATTCGGCAATATCTCGCTACCGAGGGGTATCACTGGAGCTTTCGGGGGGGCTTCCGCTCTCTTAAATCGAATCAGTGTCACTGATTGAATTAGTGATACAGTACTCATAATCAGTGAGTACTCATTTATTTTTATTGGAACATCTCCACTCAGCTCTTTTGTCTTATACTTAATTGAATTTGGCCAGTGGAAGATTCACTGCAAATCGTTGTTGTGCGTCCCCGGAGATATATATATATATATATATATATATNATATATATATATATATATATATATATATATATATACGTGCTTTTGAAGATATGTCGTATTTGGCGTAGTTCGTACGGTAGCAGATTTAAGAGCCATAAGTTTCAAGTTCTATCAGGACAAGCGTGTTTTCCAAGTACGATAAAAATTAAATCAATTAAACATAACTAAGAATATTTCAGACAACAATATTGACAAAATCTTAAAAATATGACTAAAATAATAGAAGAATAACTAGAAGAGGTAATAAATAATATCTATTTTCATTGTTCCTACAGTTAGATTTTCCAGATAAACAGTCACCACTATTAACACTTTGCCGTCCGGGGACACCACGTTGGTGGCCTGCGAAAACTATCGCGCAAAGGCCGGCAACACCACGTTGGTGTCGTGCGCAAAACTATCACGCAAAGGCCGGTGACAGCACTGTGGTGCTGTTTGTGTTCTGATAGTGTACTGTTGGTGTTCTGTTTATGTTCTGTTTAAGTAACAATAAGTTACAGACATCATGATTCGATCGACGGACTTTCCGGTTAGCTAAAGCAACACCAGCTAATACATATTTCCGAAACCGACAAACGAAAACGAAAAAAGTGCCAGGTATGTTCCAAAAACAAAAAAAGGACAACAAATTTAATGTGTAAGTCTTGTGGAGTCGCGTTACACCTCGGAGATTGTTTTGCTTCATATCATCTAAAAGAGAAATACTAAGAACCCAAACAAATATTAATAAATAAATAAATATATAATACAAAAAAATGTTACATTTATTTACATATTTCCTCGAAATTTCATAAAAATTGCGGGACGGAATTGAAAACTAATGAGAACTGACGATTTATGATCTCCCGAAAACGTCAAAAAATTGCCGGCGCCAAATAAAAAAATCCTGATGAAACGTGCGGACGGCAAAGTGTTAATAAACTATTGCAGCGAAATTTTAATGTTTTACAGTGCTCTACTTATAATTATGATCATCAGTGACTGTTTCTTAATGATAAAATATTGATCGCACTTTGGAGAACATTCGCCTGGAAGACGCCTGGTAAATTACAAATTGTGCACGTTGTTAAATTAATTTTCGCGCGATTTTCCCCGAGCTTCTGCACGATAATCGTTAGGAGAATTGCCTGTACTTTGCGAGTTTAAGTTAAACAAGAATTAATAATTAATTAGTTAATCAGTGTTTCGAAAACGCTGTTAGCGGTGCGGCCGTGGGGGGTTACACTGTGCGCGCCGTTAAAAGTTTTCAAGTTCGTTCGGTTGTTCTAACAGATTCGGTTCTGTTATATGCGAGGAAAATGAAGGTTCTCAGATATTCGCTCAAATGCGGCCCGGTGAAAGGAGTTGGTGAGACGCGAATGTATGCGCATGTAAAAATCTAGATTAAGATTTTTCCAATCTGGATATTAAACGCGACTAGAAAAAAATGAGGTGCGTTTGTGCCAAGAAAATGAGCAATATCGCCACTTGAAGATCAAAAACATGAAAAGAAACAGAAGAAGAAACGTATCTAAGAAGAAATATAATATTAGACGTGAAGAAGAAATATAATTCGATGCCTTTAGTCTTATTTATTTCTATAATATGTATTTTAAATTTAAATATTTTTCCGTTTAACTGTGGCTTCAAAGAGCAAGAGTTTTCTATATTAAAAAAGCACTACGTAATATTGCAGAGTGATCAATATAGCCTCAGGAAATAGTAGCGAATAGTATTGGTATCGACAAAGTGTTGGCAATATGTAATATTGCATACTTTTTGCACTTCAACTGTAGAAAAATACTGCTAAAGCCACAAAAATGATTTGTTCGTCTTTTGGCACGTGAGTCATATAATTTGTAAAAAATGATATCAGAGATTTGGAGAAGATTTCGAGAAGATCTCCTTCACGAAAACGTTCGACCTCACGTGGCAAAACGAATAAAAAACGCCATTTTTTATATAGAAAGAGAAGTTGTATGGCACCCGGCTTATTCTCTAGGACCGGTATTCATAGTCATATCTTATACTTAAAACTGTCTTAAATATAAGATCTGACTATAAATATTTATACTTTGCCCCATGCCTCAGATTTTTATCTGTTTCGAATATTGCAACACCATATAACCAACATATATTTTAAAAGAATAGAGGATGTTCGAAAATTTATCGATGACTGTTGATTCAAAACTACCGAATTTTTATCGCGATGAAATTTGATATCTGCCCGATAGACGGTGTGAGATCCTCGGTACTAATGAAAGTTATTTCGATAATTAAAACTGCATATCTTCTCATTGATCATATCTGAGAACCTTCATTTCAATTAGACGCTACAGACGCTGATCAATTATCGCGGGATAACGTTACGTTGTTCCATACTTGGCAATTTCTATCGTTCTACTCGGCATCGCACTCAGATAGAAACTCCGGTTCAGCGAGATCGACTGGTAGAGACCTCGCCAAGCGGACTTACTTGAACACGATGATTCGAACTGTCGGCTACGACGATGGAGTTGTCCGGGCCGACCGCGAGGCCTCTCGGCCAAGTAAAGCATCCGGCTTCGCTCCCCCGCATCCCGAACTTAAACAGCTGCCGCCGCTTCAGCAGGTAATGACTCCTCCGACCATTGCTGAAACCGATTAACGAGGCGGTCAATAAACCTCATTACGCAAATTTCCAATCTTTCTCCCGGCGGTTGTATAAGGTGTTTACTGTCTGGAAAGATCTGGAAAACCTGGAATTCTCAGGGAATGTGTTTATGGTTGGAAAAATAGTACTATATAAATCATAGACACGAATTTGGCATTCTGTGTATACATACTTTTAAGATTGTTTTTAATTTCTTGTTTAATATTTAAATATTAGCACTTCTTTTATATTTATAATAGATTTTTTTTCTATATCTACATATATAATTTAAATGTTTAATTATAATATTCTCTCATTTAGAACATATTGATTTTACGACTAATCCGATATTCAGTATTGAGGACAACGATTTCGTATTAAGTGCGATTTTATTTAAGATAGATATTTATTTTCATAGTTTTATAAAAATTAAATTTTGTACCGGTTATGTATTATATAATTTTTTGTCTGTAACTTTTGAAAATAGAATTCGAAAATTTTCGCAATTTAGTCATTGAAACATGAGCGATTCTTAATTTTACTTTATGATTCATAAACTTTTACAAATGGAAAATATAACGGACTTCGCACAATAAATATATATTCACCTGCAAGATATATTTAAAAATACTTTCATTTTTTCTTAAATTTTTAGCAAATTGCCTGGAAAATCAAGGAATTCTCAGGGAATTTTTTTTCGTGGGTTCAGGCATCTTATTGTAGATCTCCTCCGAGGGTCGAGGGTGCTTAAGCTCCTTGCAGTCTCACGCAACTAATCGCGCCAGTCGAGCGTTATCGCGGGATAAGACCGTATCGTTATCAGTCATCCGGTGAAACCCGCCAACATCTTTCTTATCGAGTTAAGAGAAGTTCATTTTGCGTTCGCGGCCGGCCGGCTCAAACTCGGATATACTGGAGGCTCTGTGTCTTCATTGGGCGCCGCTGTTCTTAAACGAATGTTTTCGGTAAATCCACTTTTCAGGAGGGACGATGCTCGGACGGCGGGAAGCAGCGCGGTAGATCTCGGAGAGTTACGGCTGCTCCGAGAAGAGACGGAAGAGAAGGAGGAGGAGTCGCGCGCAGCGGCGGATAACGAGGATAAAGTGTTTTGATCGCGATGGCCGCATCCACACAAGGGGGGCTTCTCCGCGGCTTTCGAGTGCACTCTGCCATATTTACAGAGTCATACGTTCTTCCTAACGAGTAGCGCGCCGCGTCTTCGCTCTATAAAGTACGAAACTTAAGTTTCCTCCCGCCGGTAATTTGGTCCGGTATTGGAGGAGAAAATCTTCGCTTCCGAGGAAACTCTCCTCGAGGAAACGTCGTCCGTGAGAGCTGGCGAAACTTCGCGTCTCATGCCCGACGGTTTCTCGGCAGGTCAATCGGAGATAAGACGCTTCTCTCGCGGTATCGCGGAGAAAAATCTTCGATGCTAATCAGGAGAACGAGACATCACGCTCGCGAAAATTGTTCTTTCCTGGGAAAAAGGGGAGAACAGAGGTCACGAACGAGCGTCATGAGTTTTCTCGACCAATTTGAGCCCCGGAGAGCGAAAGGTTTCGCCCGTGAAACCCGCGCGCGCCTCCGAAAAATGTTGCGCGACGTCATGTTATCAAAAGGGCAGAGGTTGTATTTCCTGTGAAATTACACTCACGTTGTTTTCTCGTGTTGCTCGGAAGCTCGAGCTTCCGCGCGTGCAATGAAACACAATGCGACGTAACGAAGACTCACCTAGTGGAGGAACCTGCTGCCGCGGGTATAACGGGAGCTGCTGTAGGGGACGTGGGGGAGCCTGACGGGTTTTTTTGGTCGTCATCAGAAGATTCGAAGGACGTTTGGCCGGTATGCCTGAGAGGTAAGCCCAACGACAGCCTCCTTGAGGCCGAGCTGGTGCTGTGGACATTGTGTCATCCTACCGTTAATAGCTTTCGCACGATTGTCCTAACCCTTATCCGGAGAAGCCATGTTTGTAACGCAGTTGAACTAAGTTGTAAGAGTGAAAATCTTTCTTGAAAATATTTAGAGCATAACAGCGGGCAAAACCATTTAGATACATTGAAATTGGAAATGCAATCCAATGAGAGAACTTCTTTTTTTACTAATTTGCTCTCGTAAGACTCTGGTGCGCTTTGAAATTGATTGCGTCTAAACTGTTTTGCTCCATATTATACATTAATTTTTACGACCTTTTCTTTTTATAAACATAATGTTAAAATTAATAGTCATTAAACTTCAGATAGACAAAAAGGCGTGCAAAATTTCAGATAGGAACCATTCAACAATTACGATACGCAAAATTTGGGTATCGTTTTATCTAGTCCTGATTAGTGAAAGTTATGTTTTTAAAAGAATAAATATTAAAACATTAACATTTTGATCATTAACACATTAAAACTATGTCAAAACTTGAAAATTTTCACCAATTTTCACCAAATTTAACCAAATGTGTCACCAACGCAAACAAAATGAATAACCACGCGCATTCATATTTATATTTTTACTAAACACAGATGCGTGCTACGCGCGCTCTATTTAGCTAATTATTATTACAATATAATATTATTATTATTATTAGCTAATTATTATTAAATCAGTTTAAGTCTATCGATAATTATTAAGAGAATGATAAAAGTGTTAATGATAACAATAGAAATTTATTCGAGAAAAACTACACACACATATATATATATATATATATGTATAAACTTTGTTTTTTTTCTTCTATATTTTATATCAATATTGAAAACGTAACATGTATATATTAAAAACCACTAATAAGATCATCAATTTGTTATCCATTTTAACTAAACATTCATTTTTTATATGACGTTCCTTTTCATCCTGCCATCACAGATCGTCACGCAACGCTAAATAGACTCCCTTCGCTCGTGGTGTGACGTAATTGTTTGATGAATTGTCGAATTAAACAAGAAATAATCATATCACGACTTCAGATACAACAAACCAAAACATAATATGAATTTCATTTAACATACAAAAGAAGTGACTTCGTTCGCCCAGATAAGGGTTAATCGTCGGTCACGCATAAGACTGAATCCGTCTCTCCTTCTGTCTTGGTCGCGCGTGGAACGACGGGCCAATGCAATGACGCTTTGTGCCATGTTCCTGTCGTGTCGAACGCGTGCGTCGACGCGATGTGTAATAAATTTCTGACGCCGATAATACCGACGTCGATGCCGGCGTGCGTATAATGTCCCGAGCTATTATGCATACGGCACGATTAAAGCTTATTACCGCCGTGTACAATTGCGTGGCGCATTATTTGCAATTTGACTCGCGATTGCTGCTCATTACACGTAAAACGGACAATTAATTGATATACACCCCGCACGCGTACGTCATATCCACGTCCGTGAATCCAAACGCGTCGGCCAGCGTGTTTATTATTACCGTGATGGAAGCTCTCACCTGGACGAGGGTATCGTGGAGGACGAGGAGGGCGGTTCTTTGTCCTTGGTGGTGCGGTTGCCGTATTTGTTCTTCAGGTACCTCGCCCACGAGCTCAAGGCCGCGCCGTCCTTTTCGGTACCCGGACGATCGCGTTCCGGGCTCGGTTCGCGCGACTTCAGCGCGTGGGTGCTGCGGCTGCGTGCCAGCTCGGAGCCTGCACCGTACTTGGCCGCCAGGTAGGCGTTCGGCGACTGGGTGGTCGGCGACGGCGGCTCCTCGTCGAGGTCGAGGTCGTCGCCGCCGAAGTTGTGCGAGCTCCGGGAACGCGCCAGACGCTGCCGGCGCTCCTTCAGCGCGGCGTAGCGCGATCTCGTCGACAACGGCGAGTCCATGTCCACCTCCGCGTCTCTCTCGCGTTCCCGTTCGCGGTCTCGTTCACGCTCCCGCTCGCGGGACGCCATCATCGCCGCCTGACTCCTGCTCTTGTTGAGGAACCTGGAACACAATTGAGACGAGATGTGGTCAGTTAGTTGTGTTTTCCTCACCGACTGCGCTAATACTGCGACACGACGGAGTTGCTTTGCTCTTGCGAAGATACTTTCCGAAGTAGCGTCAAGGAACTTCGAAACTTCTCGCTTGCCGTGAGAATGATAGTGTGGTACAGCTTGTGGCGGATATCGAAATGAATAACTAACGCTGACAGTAACATCTCGAGTCGAAATCTTTGTCCTACATTTAGTTCTACTAACTCCTCAAAGATCTTCTAATTTGACGCTATAAATATCTGGCAGCAACCAGAGTACAAAGACAATAAATCAAAATTGCGAATAAACTTAATCCTTCACGAAGGATAAGCAAAGAAATGCAAAAACCAAGGGATATGGTTTGGAATTAATCTGCGCACGATTTCGATCGATAACAGCCGGAGCCGTAAAAGTTAATGTCTACATCCTTCATTTTTTACAGGATACAATCAAGATGTCCTTTTGCAATGTCATAGACGTTTCAGAGGCCGTTTTTCATTTACTTTCGCGAGAGCAATACAATTCCACACAATATGCGCGTCTAAGGCGACAGTTACATCGGCAAGGGACAGAATTGCTACTAGCTGTAACAGAATGATCAAGCAATAAAAAAATGATTGATAGTAAAAGGGCGTTTTATCTCACCCAGCGTCTTGCAATTTCTGCGTCCTACATTCCTTTGCCCCGTGTAACTGCCGGATAACACCCCCAGACAGCGCAATGTCCAAAATCGGGACATAAGAAGTCTGGACGTAAGACGTCTCAAAGACATCGTGCTGTCTGGAACGTGAATTGTCCACAGAAGCGTGACGGACCAGTTGTTAATTGTACGAAAATTAAAACAACGACCAAAGAGTTTCGTTCTCCGTTGCACAACATCGTCGTGTGCGAAGTGTGTTCATGTTAATGCACCTCTTTACGCATGTCCGAGTTACCCAAATTCTCCCCGAATTTTCGAGACGTCGTCGACATTGCTATTAACATTTTTTTCGTCAACTGCCGATTCAAAAACGCCACATTCGATCTGTTCATCGCTCACGAGCGCAGTCATTTCCGAGCCGCTCTCGAGCGACCGACGGCTCTTCTCCGCGATCAACTCGGTCGCCATTCGCGGGTCAAACTCCAGTAGGTTTCGGGCAATCGCGAAAACTCGGGAACGCCGAAAGAATGGTCCGTGAAAGTGCCTTGACCTCGGCACGCACGCGGAAAGACGATACTCAGCGGATCGAGAGTGGCCGGGGATATAACGTACGTGGTCGTATTTTCGTGAGACTCGCATCGAGCTATTTTCGGGCTGCGTGCGTGCGTGCGTGCGTGCCGCTAGTCAGGCTACACGGTGCACAAGCGAACGCGGAACGCGATATCGTGTAACCAAACATTTATCGACGAGAGAACACGGACGGACAGCAAGAAAAAATTATATATATATATATGTACACAATAAAAAATTTTATGTAAAAACAGTTCTTAAAAATTTTTACGTTACTTTAACACGGGGAATATGTTAAAAAGTACACAAATATATGTTAAATTAACATATTCACCTTGTTAGAGAAACATATAAATTTCAACGGACCGTTTCTAACACACAATTTTTTAATGTGCACGAATATTTATAACGCGCGCTATTCTAAAACCTCAGACGAGGTAAAAAGAAAAGGAAAAAATCCCGAGCGGAGGAAAGTGCCTACGTGATAATAGAGTTCATCAGCGGCTCGATTTCGCTTTCATGCGCCTTCTCGCGTCAGTACGGGACTCATCATCGTCGTCGTCGTCGTTTCTTCGAGGAGAAGAAAGCGCGAGGAAATAATCTTCCGGAAGATACGTGACATTATTGCGGGCTCAGCGAGTCGGCGATCGAGTAATCGGCATGCTCGGGCGAGACAATTTATTTGTCAATTGCACGCGCGTATCATACGCGCTCGTGTTCCGCGCGCGAGCGGCCGCGGCACGTTTTGAAAAGCGCGATATCAGGGCCGCGCGCCGCAAATTGCCTGGGCTAATGAGTTCGGAGGGAGCGGAAGTAACGAGGTTAAGGAACTACTGCTTTTCACACGTACACGGTGGTCTGACAGACTTTGCCTGGCCCAGCGCGGTCTGCCGCTGTCTCGTTTTATGGGATTAAGCTCGCGCGAGGAGACGAGATTTGCATCTGATTGCCCACCCGCGACCCTCCTTAACGCGCCGCACGACGACGTTGTTCTCGCGTATCTCGGGTTATTGTGTTATATCGTATATCATGAAGCTGCACACCGCTCGGACGTATACGACGAGATTCTTTTTTTTGTACGTTGTACGATGATCTTCGTGCGTCGTGAATGATTAATCCTGACAGTAACATGTTAGGCCTGCGAGACCTACACGCGTTCTTTTTTGCTTATTCTTTCTTTCATGTTAGGTGCAAGATTCTATGCCGCGTTCCTGTTACTTTATTATTCAGACAAAAGATCAGTCCGTGTGGCCACTATTATTATCAGTCTGACATTCAACAAGATAATTGATTTGCTGCACGGAGAAAAATGATTTACTGCTGGCGCAGCAAATTTATTCCGTCGCAGGAAAATCTGTCAGTTACTGTGTGGACAGCGAAACTATCTGCTAGAGTACTAAGTGCCATTCGCTGGATTACTTTGCCAAATTTGCAAATTATTGTGCTTTAAGAACAAATTAGTAAACGTAGGAAAACATCATTCTAACAGCACATTAACGCGTCCTAAGGACAGATTCACTCAGCAGAATATTATCTATCTTGGCGGCAAAATTGCAATTTCTGCTCTAATTCCGAATAATTCGTTGATTTCGTTATGCCAACTAAATTTTATCACTGTTGCAATGAATATGCAGTATAACAATATGTGGCTTCGCTGTAATAGCAAAATTATTTTTCTCCGTTTGGCGACAACCCACCAACTCTCTCTATATAAAAAGACAATAAATAAAAATTGCTAGCAAACTTAATAATTCGTGAAAGACCAAAAAATGCAAGTAATCACGACTTTTACAATCTTTTCGTGACGTAGGCCTAAGAGATCTATGGTGTTACTTCAGCGTCAAGATCACGGGTGTTATTCTCATAGTTAGACGCACACCACAGGTAGCGTTGGGTGAAACTACTGATTAAGCTCTTGGTTTTATCGCTTGGATCGCAGGAAGCCTCCAGCTGTACAAAATATACGAAATTATTGACGTTGCGTAAAGAAGGTTCTTCGGAAGTTCTCGACGAGAAAGAGAGAGAGAGAGAGAGAGATAAGCTGCGAGGTGATGAGCAAAATAGTTAATATCTGAGCGCAAACTTCTTTGCGTTTCGTGGTGTGGTCTGTACACTCGCGGAACGAGTTAAGCGTAACGTCGTCAGTAATGAGCGATCTAGATGAGGTAAACAGAAACAAGACGTCGTCGCATTTATCGCGGTACTGGTCGCGACGTTGTTGCTGTTGGGCATTATTATTTCTGGCTTTGTAACTCGAGAAAGAAATGGAGAGAACCTATGCTTACGAAACGGCCATCGATCTAATTCGATCCCAGCTCCATGGGCGAGTGCAACCATCGGCGTCCACCGATGCGTCGCACTTTTCACCACAGATTCGTGAGGCATCCTGTGTGACATGACGATGACGGTGATTATGAGGATACGTGTTCCACTGTGATTCGCACGATACGCACGTCATCATGCACGTTTAATTGCGCAAGCGTGTCTGTTATCGAGAAGCCGGGGAGTTGAAGCCGTTATTTTCTCTCAAATTATCAAATGAGGAGGGAGGAGGGAAAGGGGTGTGTCGCTAATTTGGGAAGATTTGGGAAATCGTGCTGCGGACCCCGTTTCGTTCTCGAGAAACAAAGACTCGAGCGAACTCCTCCGCTTTGGTTTCCGTCCGGCGCGTGCGCGGCCCGCGGATTTCGAGACACAACGATCGTGCAACCGTCGAACGAACTGCTCGCAACAGGTTATTGATTATTGATTAATCGCAGATAACCGGAAGAATGTAAATTCCGATGTAGCTAATATTAAAGCTCAATTAACATCCCGTAGGGCGGAGTTAACGATGCATATGGCGAACCGCGCACGATGCGGATGAAATTTTCGGATTGCGTCAAACAATGTTTGTGCAGGTAGGGTGGGGTAGGTTCGCTCACCCCGAATTCGAGAAAGTTCATGAATGTCCGCAAACTTTGGTATAGACATAGTTTATCGCGCGCCTGGTTTGTATGACTTTGCACTGAACCCAACTAAGTTCGTATTTCGCCCGTATTAGGTCGGGCCCCAGTGCATCGGTAGAACCGACGTGTCACGAAGTAAGAAGTTTGCAGTTTACGAAACTGCTAGATCAGATTGCGCCCGTGGATCGATGGTTCTACGTTCTCTCCTTCTTCGCGAAACGCAGCTGTGTGTGAGAGAGGCCTGGTGAAGTTTCGACACTGCCGATTCGTTATAACCACGGAGGAGCGAAGTGTGCAACGTGCTAAGAATACCGCGTGGCGTTATGCGGTAATCTATTTCCGCTCACGCGGCTATTTTTTTTCCTCTACGCGGCAATTCGAAACAAAATTGACTACTTTGTTCGCAACTCTGAAAAAAATTGGTTAATTAATACCAATTGCCGTATCGGATGACGCTGTAATGATGTAACCGTAATGAATCAACGTTACACAGAGAAAAAGATTCCTTTGGATATGGTGAAATTTCTTTCATTGAAACAAATTTATCCTTAGGAATGGAGCTAACAATCGAATATTTGATTCAACAAACAGGCTTTCTCAAAGCATAAGTATTTTTATTAAACAACATATTTTTTTTGTATTTTTTCATATAAACATTACAATAGTTGTCACAAGCAATAAATTATTTGGAAGAAATAACACTGTGTTAGAAAAATATTAAGGAGAAAAATCTTTTCTATTTCAATGGGACAATATTTAGCATATAATGAAGTAATTTTTTTTGTTGAAAACTAAATTAATCATTTTCTCTAAATAATATTGTATTTTCTATCAAACAACATAGTTTACGCTAGTGAAACAACGTTTTCGTTCAAACAAAATGATATTTGATATCAAATTATATTTTTTATATTAAGCAAAATAAGTCAAATAAACACGTGTACCATAAATCCAAAGAAATATTTTCTTCTGTGTACAATTACGGAAACTAAAGTTTCGCCGTTATTGTTGCCACTGTAGCCATTACGCTTGAAAAGTATAATAACGATTGGGTTACCACAAAAGGTATCCATTACAGAACAATGAATAAATTGTGCAACGAGAGAGAGAGAGAAAGAGAGAGAGAGAGAGAGAGACAGAGAGAGAGAGAGAGGTAAAACTTCGAATTGTTTATGATACTTCGTTCTCGTGCGTATTATGCATTTCGCTAAAATACGCAAATGTCATTTACAAACGCGCGATGAGAGACGGGTTAATCACAGGTTATCGTAAGACGCAGACTTCGCTGCGGAGTTCGCTCAGCTCGTCGCGAACTTTGCGAACAATAATTTGCCGCTCGCGCGAGCGCGAATCTGCCGTCTCAGGAGGTGCAGTAGTCCTCGAATTTATGTCCCGTAGTCTCGTGTTGTACCTACTTGCAGAGCCGAAGTGTCCCACTACCATCCCCGCACACGCACACAGATCTGATTGTCTCTCCTCGAGATAACATAGCCGGGGGATCGAGAGAGCGAGTGCGTGTATCTTGAGGTGTGCAACAATCGGCAACCGGTGTCGTGGTGCAATTAAAACTCTCTGCGCGAACAACGCCGCGAGTACTTCGGCGTCTTTAACGAAACAGTGTCTCGCCCGATCTCGATACTTGCTCCGAGGAATAGTCTAAGAATTGAGAGAGGGAGAGAGAGAGAGAGAGAGAAAGAGAGAGAAAGAGAGACAAAGAGAGAGAAAGAGAGAGCACCCTCCGAAACGCACGTACGAACTGGATAGCCGCATCCACATCTGCCTCATCGTCATCCCTCAACGACGTCGGCGCCGATCTTTCTCTCTCTCTCTCTTGATGACGCGAATCGCGAACGTGTATCGTTTGTTGTTAGTGTGCAATAAATAAATATGCATTCTTCCTCGTATACATATCGTATTTCGTTTTCGTTGCAACGCTTCCGACAATGGTTACACGCGTGGACAAGGAGACCGAGGTACGTAAAGTCGGGAAAATTATACGAAAATCTGGGGAAATCGGGAAGATCGCTTTCTGGGCGACAGAGAAGGTGTGACGAAGATGGGTGAACAATAAGAGTAAAAAAAAAAGAGAGAAAAAAAAGTGAAAAGAGGACGAGAGAACGAACAGAATTTGCAGGCGGGATCCGACACTTTGTTATCACGCCGATACTGAGAGGACGGTTGACAGGGAAATAAATAATACGAGTTATCACAAAGAAATGCAGTTTATTTACCACACCAACAAACTGACGCAAGCCTATTCTCTAAGGAGAGAGAGAGAGAGAGAGAGAGAGAACGATAAAGAGAGAAAGAAGGAGAGAGAGAGAAAGAAAGCGCGAGAAAGAAAATAAAAAAAAGTTACGAGACGAGAATGCGGCGCGCGTACGACGGCGGGCAACCCACGTGGCGACGACACCTGGCCACGTGCGGCTGCCGCCGACAACCGTTTCTCACTGGCTCCTTCGAAACGGAACGGGGACGGCTTGAAAGCTCAGAAAGCGCGAATCTCAAAAGTGCTTCGCTGTCGGACACGACGACGATATATGTTGCGTACATGTGAAACACGAAGCCACGTATTTGAGCAATGCGGGGTTTTACACGCGTCGCGGATCAACGTAGGAACGATGTGCGGCGCACGGGTCGCACATACGACTATATCACAATGTATAAAATGCAATATATTCACGATATACAGCGTATAGATAGATAGCTACACGTTCATAAACGTTCTCCGTTAATCGTTCACGCGTCGGTCCTACACATGCTCTTCTCTCTCTTGTCCTGTCGTAACCGTTATCTGCGTTACCGAAATTTCCGCGCGCTATGCTCTCGTATTACATAATCGATGTTATACCGATTCGTGATTCCCTGGTACCGGAATGTTTAATTTTGGGAAATTAATTGGAATCCGATTAAAATTAATTAACATTAACCGGAATTCGAGAACGCGATTTAATCAATGCCGCGCGCGGATCAATCGGCAGAGAGAAATGGGAAAGCTCGATCTGAAAATTTTCATCTCATTCCGTAGAGGATCGGACAATCCCCAAAATTTGTGAGAAACTAAACTCGGTGCTGGATCGCGGACACCTTGCGATCCGTGGATTGAAAGTCTACGCGAAAGTTACGTTCGGCGTAAAGTCACAATCCGACGAGTTCCGGTTCGCAGAATAACGAATAAAATTGATGTCTCTTCGCGCCAGCTTCTCGAAAGGAGCAAATATTGGATCGAGCGTTCCACTGGAAGACCGCTGCGTCGTCACTCTCGCAGCGAGGCAGTCCTCGTTACAGTGTCTGTGCTCGTGTAAAGGTCCACAGTCGTTAACACCGACAACCGAGACAACGCGAGATAGAGAGAGAGAGAGAGAGAGATGGAGAGACAAATAATATGATAGAGAGAGTGTAAAGGACAACAGGAGGAAGGTAGGTAGGACCCGCGGTACGTGTGTCTGCGGAGAGAGATTTCGACGAATTACAGGATGAGGTTCATTAGAACGCTGTAACACAGTACGGACACACAGAAGACGGTGGTTACCATTTGCATCGGTATACTGATATTGGTACCGGGCGTTCCCTCGTGCTCGCCGGGCGACTCAGTGCCCTTCGACTGGGTAGCGTTCGCGAGTAACGCGCCGTTCTCGATGTTACTTTTCGTTACGAGGTCGGTCGTTTGGGAACGAGTCGCGCTCGTAGTGCTCTCCGCGCTGCGGTCCCCCGCGTCTTCGCCGACTACGTCGTCGTCCTCATCGTCATCCTCGTCGTCTTCGTCGTTTCCACCTTCGAGAATCACCCACCCGTTGTCATCGATGTTGCCCCCTCCGGTTTCTCGAACCACTTCGCCCTCAATCGGCCCCGCGACACCTCCGATCTTAGCGTCGACGACATCGGAGGGGGCTTCAGTCGGCGAGGTCGCACGGTCAGACTCGCTCTCGGATTCGTCGGACACCAGCCAGCCGTTCTTGCCGAGGCTGCTTTGCCTGTATACGCGGCTCCTCGGCAGAAGTGTCTCCTCGGGTGCTCGTTGTTCGCTCGAGGGAGCGATCTTGACGTCGAGACCGCTCTCAGCGATTTTAGGAATGAGTTCGTCCTCCGGACGAGTCCCAGCTGCATCGCTGGGCTCGTCGCCGGCGGTGTCTTCAGTCTGTCGTTGATCGGCCGGCCGATCGATGGGATCGCTCGCGGATCCGAAGCCCGACACCGTTCGCACGTCGGCCTGCAGATCCTGCTCGGTGATCACCCAGCCATTGTCGTCGAACATCTCCTCGATACTCCTCTCGTCGATTATCGAGGCGCTGCGGCGCTTCAGGTCCCTCTCGTAGCGCACGTCGTCCGATTGCGTTAGACTGCTGTCGGCGCGGGTGTTGGAGCTGACGCTCAACACTGTGGCCTCCCCGTCGGTGTCGGAGGAGCTCGAGGAGTCTTCGCTCTCCGTATCGCTCGCGTCGTCCGAATCCCCGCGCTCCTCCTTCTTCTCTTTCTTCAAGTTGCAATTCTCGTCCCGAGACTCGTCGTCCTCTTCCACTTCCTCGTCCTCCGAGTCGCTCTCGGAATCGCTCTCCGACTCGCTGTCGGACATTGTTCGCCCGCTGACGGAGCTCGAGCTCTCGGACACGCCTCGGGAGTCCTTGGACTTGGATCGGCCTCTGCTCTGGTCGATCGTCTCGGCGGACAGACTCGAGAGATCCGACGCGGACCGCTCGACGACACTCGCATTTCTCACATCATCCTCGAGCGGCGCCCGAACAGGCGTGTCCTCGGATTCACGCTTCTCGGGCATGACGGTGTCGCGCGTCCTCGTCGCGGAGTCGTCGTCGGTCGCGACGCTTTCATGCCGGTCGCGACCGCTCACCAATGAGACCTCATCGTTCCCCGAACGACCGTCCACTAACGCGTCGTCTTCGGCCACGCTCGCAACCCGACTACCGCGGCTACCCTCCATGAGACTTTCGGGGCTAATCGCGAGGTGGGAGGAGGATGAGGTGGTCGATTTGTTGTCGGTGTCCGTAATACCGTCCGTTTGCGGGGTAGTGTTCGTCGGTGGCGGTATAACCTGCCTCAGTGCGTCCCCGTAGTCGGCGTTAAAAGCGTAATCCGCGATTGTAGTGGTAGTAGTGGTAGTGGTAGTAGTAGCAGTAATAGTAGTGGTAGTAGTAGTAGTAGCCGCGATTACTATATCGTCCTCGACGCGACCGGCCGATCTTACGTCGGTACCGTCACTAAACGTCCTAAAACGATTACAGTCGAGGGGGTTACTGGAATTATTAGAAGTGGCCTGATCGTGAGTCTGACCGTGAGCTACGTGCTGAGCTACGAACCTGCTGGTGTAGCCGCCCGGCGTGGCCGTCGACGTCGCGACGCCCACGCCAACGCCGCCGCCAATGCCGCCGCCGCCGCCGCCGCCCGGACTCGTCATCGTCGTCATCGTCGGGCTCGTCACGGAATGCGCGGGGCTCCCCCTCGGCGACGAATACCTGGGACACGAGTGAACGGTCGGACTTTCTCTCCTTTCTCTCGGGACTCTCTCGAACTACGCTACTGCTACTTCTAAGGGGGAGGCTTCGCCCGAGCTTGCTGCTTTTTCCTGATTGCGCCCACGACGCAGCGTTGCCATAAACTGATCTCAGCCGCATGAGGGGAACGCGGCACGCGCTTGTGTGCGTCTTCCCATCATGCGGCTAAGGCCAGTTTATGGCAACTCTGCGTGGACGCTCCCCGCACGACCGAACGACGACGTCGCGCCGTTCGTTTCCTCTCTCTTCCCGCGTGTTTCTTTCTCTCTGACTTTCATTCCTTTTCTATTCGGAGACGCGCGCGATCGTGACACACGTGTGTGTCTCACGTTGTCCCGAGTATTACCGGACCGTTCGAGAACCTCTTCTCGGCGCGGGATTAAGGCGCGAGCTTATGCGATTAGTGAGCTCCCGTGATCTCGCTTTATTTCCAGCCGGTCGGAGTTTCCGAAGGCCGCCGAGTTCGATCGCGATCAGGAATATTCTTTTTCGATCGCGTCGCGCGAATAACAATTACGGCCTTTGCGATTTCTCGCTTGGAGCGCGACGGTGCGTCCAATTAAACGTTCGTTCGCCCGAACCGCCTGAAGCTCCCATGTATGCGTAAGATGAACGGACGAATGAGTGGAGACTACGATGTTAATCTGAAATATTAACCCTCGAATAACAAGATTGGGTCGGATCCGACCGGACCCATATTCCAGCTTCTGTAGACGCGCTGGTGAAACATAGCGTGTTGCGGTTTCGTAAATCTTTCATTCAAGTCAGTCTTCCCGCATCGACTGATAGTGTAAAATAAGTGGGACTACATTGTCTTGCCCGGTATAAAGCTTAATTCCCTTACCGGCGCGTTTTCCCGGTCGAATGCGGCCACTTTGTTATTAACGTCACTTTCTCGATTATTTTGTTATTTTCTTGAGCAAAGTATTTGTAATAAATCAACAACGATAATAGGTTTTAATTTTTTTTTACTAATTAAAGGGAAAAGCGGACAATTTTCTCTTTTTTATTTATTTAATAAAATTGTTTTCAAAGTTTTTCCTCTTTTTATTTCTTTATTATATATTATTTTATTATATATTCATTTTTTCTTAAAGAAAACTAATAAGTTGGATATTTCACAGATGATTTTTAAAGATTTCCATCCAAATAAATATTGCAATGTTTTCTACATTTCAGGCATTTCACATATTTTGTGACATATTTTATTTACTTCTAAATATTTTCCAACTTATTGTGAGAATGAAAAGTGTTACCTAGTCGGCAAAATTAGTTGGAAAAACTACAAAATGCTTCTACCGGTCGGATTCGATTGACCTTGTTATACGTGTGACGCATGAACTTTGTTATTCGAGGGTTAACAATCGACGGAGACAAATATCGGTCTCAATTTCCCAAAGCGGAAATTGATCACACGCTCGTGCCGCTCGAATGCGAGCGAGCGCTAGGCCGCTGCCTTGCAGTCGAGCTTTCGCGCGTCCTAATATTATAATTCATCGCCAGGCTGAACGGCTAATCAGTTCCCGCAGCGGTACGTGGAAAGTTTCTGATAGTAGCGCGCGATGGGAGCAGGCCACGTGATTCTTTTACAAAAGCCGGAGAGTCGCGGCCCGGCCGGGAAGCACTTACGGAGCCCCTCCGTTCTCTCCCTGTTCCTATTCTCTTTTCCCCTTCCTCTACCTCCCCCCTCTCTCTCTCTTTCTCTTTCTGTCTCCCCCGACCGTTCCTCGTTTCTTTAACCCACCCTCAGTCTGTAACGGGAGATTGCGGGAGCGTCGGGGAGAGTTCGCTTCGAAATTCAGCGCGAGTGTGCGCGGCAACTCCCGGATGCGGCGGAGGAGCGCCGGGATGCGTGACTGGCGCCGGCGGTACCGACGCTCGTAACGAGCGCGAGTAAACACGCGGGGAATAGCACGAGGGAGGCTCGGGCCGAAAACTCGGCGGTAATTCCTCGCAGCGAAAACGCGATATTGCCAATTCATATCGAACGATACTTTTCCCAATGTCGGTTACTCGAGAGCGTCCTTACCGAACGTATTCGAAGAAAAAACTACCGTCGATCTACGAGATAGGTACTTTAACCCTTTCGCTGCGGCGCGCTCCAGCTAAAAGTGCACGCCGTGCGCGGCACGGTATTCAATTGTATGATATTGAAGCGGAGCGATAAAAGAAAATTCTAACCGAAAAATTCGAACAAGCTGCAGTTCGTATACAGAGTCTGCAAATGGCGAACGATTTTCCACGACGTATACACATGACGTATCCAATTGGCCGTAGTTATGCAAGATTCGGCCCACAAAATTATAATTTTTAAGATTTTATTACCGACGGGTACGTCTTTCTACATAAAACAAAACGATTCAAGTTTCACAGACGTATAAAATTAATTAAAAACGGTTTTCATTTTCTACTGGTCGTGCCATTTTTACCAGTTGTTTCTTTTTACCTATTTTTTTAAGGGTTAAGCTTGTCGGAAAGTGAACTATGCCCGACTTCTTGATTACGATTACGAAGAACCTCAGTGTTATTTGTACTTTTTAAATCATATCAAATTTTCGTCTTTATTTTTCTCGAAACGTGCACCATGTGGATTGGATCTTTCTCGCATAACTATGGCTGATTGAGAAGTCACTTTTCAGCGACGGATATATCGGTCGTACGCAGCGAATGAGTTAAGAGGAGAAGGAGGAACAGAGAGACGAAGAGGACTGCAAGAGAAACGACGGACTTCCGTGTCCATCGTCTGACGACGTCTCGATAAACCAGAGATACTTGCCTGGTGGAAGGCGAATCCTCTTTACTTCCCCTCCTAGCCTCGGCGCTACGAGCGAGCAGAGGTCCTATGTCAGTGCGGGCCATGGCGGATTCATTCCTCTGACGATCCTGTGGAACGCTGGAGGTTGAGGACGGAACAGCGTTGGGCGGATGAACGTCCGTTTCCGACTCCTCGGTATCCGACTCCGTCTCCTCGGACGAGCTGCTCGTCTCTTCGTCATCGTCCTCCTCTTCCTCCTTCTTCTTCGGGGCCGGCTCTTCTCGTGGCGTTTGGATTGGTGGTGGTGGGGCCGCACGATTACCTGAAAATAGACGAATTTCGACGTCAGCTTCAGTAACGCGCGATATTTTGAGTTTAAACTTGGCGAATCGGAAAAATGATATGTAAAATCACACTGAACGTTCTACTCTCATGACGTCACAATCAACGGTGTATTTGGCATCGTTGATGATATATTTAAGGGGAAGAATTCCCGGAAAAATGTCTCCCCCTCGTCTTTCGCCGAGATCACGATACGTTTCGCCAAAATATCGCGTTTAGGTTTAACGAGGAAGAAACGGCGAGAGGCAGGCGTACCTGTCGCGTCACGCGCATTTGCGTAGATTCCAGGTGCAGGGGGAGTGTGGGTGGGCTAATGCCGCCTACGTGATCGCGGTTGACGGAAATACGATGCAAAAACGAGCCGATCATATCGACTGGCTGACAGCGGTCCCGACGTGAGCGAATATCGCCACGTCCGCGTGTCTCGACGTAGGCGAAACACGTCGCCTCCGACTTAACACGTGGGCGCGGGATGTGACGTGGAGCCGGAACGTCGGAAAAGCGGACCGACAGCGCGCTTAACTAAGAGCGCTGAATGCGTAATGCAATTACCGTGTCGCGCCGCTCTCGCCGGCGCGAATTTCAGCCTTCGAATCTGAAGTATCGCCTTTCTCGCGCGCGCGAAGCGAGAGAGGCTCGCTCGCACACCCGGGTGTCGCCCCGTTTATGCGCCGTTGCGAATTGCAACGCTGTGTAACACGACTGTAACCGCTATGTGCAGCTGCATTTTACGCGCACCCTTCGCATACGGGATTAGCAAGCGCGCATGTGTTCGCGAACTCGTGGCTCGTAGCCGCAGCAGGTACGCGGAGATTCACGATCGGATGTGAAACACCTTTTACGCCGGGCGCGATGTCCGTTACTTCCACTTCATGTTCGTACACGCGCTTCCCTCGGGTTTTATTTCTTCTCGAATATTGTCCCGCCCGTAAAAAGAGTGTTCGACGAAACGGGAATATCGNTTCCTCGAAAACGCGAAATAGCAATGTCCCAGCTACGGGTGTGTTTAGCGTAACATTCGACGTTAAATAACGAATAACACATGATGTTACCTCAGCATTAAGATTGCGAGTGTCACTCTCAGGGTTAATATATATATATATATTAACCCTGAGAGTGACACTCGCAATCTTAATGCTGAGGTAACATCATGTGTTATTCGTTATTTAACGTCGAATGTTACGCTAAACACACCCGTAGCTGGGACATTGCTATTTCGCGTTTTCGAGGAAAAGTGTTTCCCGTGCAGATAAAGACACCCGAACTCTCCGAGAGCGAAAGATTAAACGCAAATTTGTCCGTACATTCAATTACCGCGAGGCGCTCGATAGGGTGCTGAGAAGTACAATGGAGCCTAGACAAAATTGGCGTGCGAGAAACGAGCAGAAACGCGCTTTCGTTTCCCTTCGTGTAAATAATAGGTAATAGGAGTACAACCGGAAATTGGGACGTGCCGTGGATAGAGCTCCCAGTTTCGTCTGCTATAAAAGGGTCAAACCCTCGATTACTATCCGGTTGTATTGTTCCTCCTAATTCTCTGTGACGTGTACACGAAGACGAATTCGGCACACAATCCTTTCAGACGTTGCACACACTTCGCTCCGCATTGTTCCGCTATCAATTACTTAAATCGTTATTATCTTCTCTTTTGCAGTCTCCAAAAACTCGAGATTTCTCGGTGGAAAAAAGAATTAATCGACGTGAAATCGGGAATATAAAAGGAAGCGTTTTATCGTTAAACTTTCGTAAAATTAAGTAAATTAACAAGTCGAGTAATTTCAATGAAGACAGACAGGTATTATTTAACTTTGAATTTATAACAGCACGGAAAGGAAATTCAGTTTCCTGCAACTAAATAGGGATCAAATGAAAACTCGGCGACGAGAAATGATACTTTTACCACCGCGACTGAGAACAGTATGAACGTTCAGCCGTATTAAAACTCGGTTAACTGCGAGCAATTGACTGAGCGGAAACCTCCTTCTGCATGAATCTTTCTGTCCCTACAATCGAGTTTCGTTTGGTCCCCGGACAACGGAAAATTCAGTTACACCAATGGAATTATTTCCTCCGTGAGGACTCGCGCATAAGTGTCTCGTTTGAAATACCACGTCAGCGAAGTAAATCTCGAATTTTTCATTTCGTCGGATGAAGAGATCGAGATTATCAAAAATGGAATTCGCATCACTATCCTCCACAATTCTCCTCTCACGATATTCTCGTATAAGCGAGTTTCGAAAATAAAAATATGACACGGCCCGCCAAATAATATTTTGTCTAGATATACCACGTGTTAGGATCGTGATATGGCTGTGTTCAGAAATATCTCTCTCAATGTGTTTTCGTGATTTCAGTGGGAAAGTAACGGGGGTACTGTGTACCCTTGGGTGTTTAGCGTTCCCGGACTACCCCAAGGGAACGTTTGAAAAATTCCAATCCAAATTAAACACATGTACTTCTATCAATGTAATATTATTATACATTGTTTCTTTCTTCTGTTATGACAAGATTAACAACAATGAGGAGGTTATGACACAGGTAAGTAGACAGTAACACACCGATTCACATCGACACCCCCTGTTCGTCGAGTGGTTTGATGGCACTCTATGTGATTGTACGTTTCCGGAAATCTCACATGAACGCACACTGAGAGCCACATTCAGTGTTTCCGAGCGGCTAATAGTGTGTGCACACTGTGTGTATTTCCGAACGCAGCCTACGTTATTATTGTCACCGATAGTACAGAGAAAAGCTGGTGATCGTGGCTAAGTAAACGCGGAGATGTGTAAAGTGAACCATCGTGGAAACGAGAGCTGTCTTTCTCGCTCGCGTTTCTTAGACCGACTCGAAGATTAAGACAAGAACGCTTGCTGATTGCATTGAATAAACGAAGACCTGGTGAGTCGAAGTCGAAATATTAATTGTATTGATTTATCAGTATCCTAATCTACTGTTCCTGGCCAAATCACGAAGCCTCTCGCGCAATCTTACATTCGAGTCGTCGTTTGTCAGCCAAATCTACCGAGATTAGCACAGATAATAAGACAAACTTCTTACCTGCGCCTAAAAAACGACTCTGAAACGGCCTGGTCGTCGCCGCGCTGATGTTCGACTCCCTGCCGGTCGTGGAGGTGACAGACGGCCCGGTCGACAGGGTGGTGGTAGTGTTGGTCGGCGGCGCCCTCGACAGGTACTTCTGCTTCATCTCCTCGGCCGTAAAGGGCGCGCCCGTGTTGCGGATGCCCGATCCGGTCGAACTCTCGGAGCCGGTGCTCGAGTCCGACGAGGCGCTCCTGGCCGCGGGGGGAGCATGAGTTTCCGCCGAAGTTCTCCTGCGAGCAACGATATTTCAAACAACCGCGTTAATAACACAACTCAACGTGAAGTTACTTGCTCGCGCTGTTTAACAACGACGTTGCCTATGAACTCCGACACTAAGTCCGACACTAGCTCCGGCCCAGGCGAACGAACGAACGCCTGCCGGCCGGCTGACTAGCTGGCGATTGCAAATCTCGCGGTTACCACTGACGTGATTAATATCCGCGTGAACAAACATGCCCCGGTCGGTCTTTCGTCCCTTTTGGGAGGACGCGCGAGTTTATCATCGCACTCCGCGGTTGTTAAGGCAGCCGAGTAAGGATGTTTTCATTTGGGATTCCCCGACCCGGCGTCGCGTTCACCTCTCGAGCGCGGTTTCGACGTTGCGACGCCGGTGGACGGAGTCGACGGTTACGCCAGCGCATCGCCTTGGTGGATTAATCCGGTGAAATGTTTGCCATTCCGTCTTCCGGCAGAAGCCCGCTCGATTATCGGTCGATCTCGCGATATGGTTTTTTGGACGTAACGCTTCTCTTTCCTTTTATTCTTCCCACGTGATCCTTTTAAATTTTCTAATTCTATCGAGCATTTTAAAATTGTGGATACTCTTGGATCATTGTGTGTTGTTCTGGTTCGCTTCGGTACTGAATATTGTTTTGTAATATGGTCTCAATGTTATGAAATTCATCTCAACCTGATTGAGCGTATTGAACATCAATTTTTGAGATTGGCTGCTTCCCAAATGGATAAGCCAATCCTATTACTTGTCATAATTATCAATCTCTTTTATATGGTCAAAACTTGTACTCTCTATTAATTGGAAGAATTAATGTTGACCTACTTTCCACTTTTAAACTTTTCAATTATTTTATGGATTGTCCGGGTGTCCTGAAACGACTTAATGTTTCTTGAAGATATTTTAGGTATCCTCTAGTGTTTGATGTGGAATGCCATAGGACTTCCTACGGTAAATTTAGCGGTAGACTGTGTGTCTTATCCAATGAATATTCATCTCTGAGGTGGATTTTTTTTAATGGAGCGTCTTCAAACATTAAAAACTCACTTACTGCCATCTTTAACTCGACTTACTAATTTATTTCATATTATATATGTACTTTTTTCTTTTTTTATGTATTGCTTGTATCTACTAATTTATTGTTTGTTTTTATCTATTTTTTAATTTTAGTATCAATGTTATTACTGTATTTTATTATTAATTTTATAACGCAATTTTTTAATATAACGGTAACGGCGATCGGATACTCTTCTTTTGTATTTTCATAAGTACTGCGCCTACATTTTTAATCAAAAGATGCTTTATCATAAATTAAAAAAATGTTATTATTATTCTTTTAATTTGTTAATTATCCGCTTTGAGTCCGACACAAACGAACTCGCTCGCCGTCGAAGAGAGTCTCAAGCAGATCGACGCGTTCGGCTGAACTTTTGTACGGTCAACTTCGTGATCGCGATCTCGCGCGTTTACCTGGCGATAGCCGGCCGCCTGACCGGTTCCTCGACCTCCCGCTCCGGGAGTTCCCTCGGTGGCGGATGAACCGGAGGAGCAGGCGCCGTCGGCTGTCTCTCCTCCACCGTGTCGGTGTGGGTGGCCGCCGCGGCGTTCTTGTTCTGCTTCTTGATCCTCGAGATCTCGTCGTCCTCGCTGGTTTGTCTCGCCATCGCGCTCGGTACCTTTCTCACTTGCACCTGCGCGTTAAAAAACAATTAGTCACGACGAATGCCGCGAATCCCGCCCTGTTTCGTCGCCCAACTTCGCGCGAATTATGCGCGCCGAGAGTCTTCCTTCGCGCGCGCGCGCAAGACCCGACGACGACGATTTCTTTCATCGCCCCCGAGCGTGCGAGGTTTACAATCGAGAGCGCGCGCGATTTATCGCGACCTGTGACAAGGTCGCAGGTGCATTTAAATGCACATTACGACGCGTAACCTGTAGCGCGATCGACACGAAACGGCGCAGCGCGCGTCGCAAGCAGGTACGCGTGATACGGGATCAAGTGGATGGTGTAATGACGAAACCCGACGAAAAGTGCAAAACCGTGTATTGTTATTCCATTCGCAGCGCTTCATACAAAATACAATGTCTGAGAGCAGGCGAACTTTTATATAATTGGATAAATAGATAGATTGATAGATAGATACATTATCTTCTCTCGCTATTATCTACATCCTATGTACACACGTATTATCTACACATTGTTAGCTATCTACTGGGAAATTGTCATAGAAAATTAACGCTACGCAAAATTCACATAATGTTCCGTCGAGCGTTTTCGCGGTTTTCGCGTAATACTCGGCGACAGGTCGTCGTAGGCTATTGGAAGATACGATCCCCTCCTCGCGTAGGAGGCCGATACTGTATGCATGTATTTTGTACGTTCATTGAGCTTTCTCGCTTTCGTCTCTCTTTACTAAACACCAGCCGCAAACATCCGAACAATGGGATGCGCGTTTATCGAATATATTTCGTTCGTCGGCACCGGCCCGTCACGCAGCATGGTGAGTGCGATCCCATCCGTTTATTTCTCCCGCCATAATAAGGGATTCCTTGCGCGAAAGTGCGGAGGTGTATCACTGTCAAAAACAAATACGATGTCGTCAAATTCACGTCAAATTTGCGTCCAATCGAGTCGTATTCTTAATTAATTAATTAACGGGCGCCCGTCAATTCTAGAGTCCCTCTAGAAAACCGAATCTGGCCACTGCCCTCAGAATAGCGTATATGAGTGGTGAAGGTAATATATATTTCGAAATATCGAATGTCTAGTTTAGACACCAGTTAAAAAGCTTCTGTTGTAATAAAAGACGTGAATGGTGTTAGTAATAAACAATAAATGGCAAGGTGTTTAATTATCTTGATAAATGTCAAGTACGGAACTATTTGATACTATATTCTTGAAGAAAGTCAAATATGCATATAAGTTATTTACTCTCTAACCTTACCATAATGTAAACGATATTTATAAAATTAATTATGAAAGTATTATTAAAATAAACTTTATTTAAAGGTGCCTTTTTAAAAGTAAAACCATGCCTTTTTAGTAGTAAAACAATGACGATGTAATCTGCTTTTAAATAGCATATGTTTAATAAATTACATCGCACAACTGTGTTTTTGCATGTGCATTTCATTTAAATGTTATAAATTCGTTTCCTTACGTACATGCAACATGCGATTATATATGTTTGTCTGGATAGGTTTTTAATTAATATTAAACAGATTAACACAAACTAGCTTGTTTCTAGAAAAATGTACACACATGTTATGACTCAAGTACACACATGTTATGACTCAAGTTTATATATATTCAATGTAATGAGTATCATTCATATAAAATTAAAAATATCTGTTATAATATTAACAAACGTATTATAAACATATTAATAATTTACTTTATTTTGAACAAATAAGCGATCCCTCTGCACTTTGATTTGTTCTGTCATTTTGAGAGCAATACGGATCAGACCAATGAAAAAATATCTAAGAGTGGCCAGACTCTGCTTTCTAGGGACTCTAGTCAACTCGAGCTCGCGGCCGAGACTCGCGAGTAGTACGACTCGGGATTCCGAGGACGCCGAGGTTAGAAAGAAAACAAAGGAGAGTATTCTCCTTAAAAAAAGCAAAAAAGATTCGACATTCCTATATAAAAACGCGGATGTAAACATGTAAACACTCGTCGCGCTCACGGTCGAATTTTCTGCTGTAATGCTCGCCCGGATATTTTTTGACGGTGTCGTCCGGTTACGACGCGCTGTGACATCGTTTTTCGTGCGTTTCGTAAAACTGCATGCAAGACCGATTCCATAGCGTTAATTGATCGAAACTCGGCTCGTAAATTGACTGTATCATCGACGTCTAGCCATTACATCGATGCAGCGGCGGTGACGTACAACCGTGCGCGGCATATCGATAAGCAGGACGCGGCGATTAAATTCCGCCGATATATCCGCGCCGGTATTGGAATGTACGTACAGTTTTCGCGGGCAACGAGAAACAAAAAAAATATATACTTCGCGCCAGCCAGTGAGCGTTTGCATTTGATGCCTATGGGATGGCGCGATACGTGCGCGACCGTCCGATTCGATCAACTTCGAGCGTATCGCACTGCATCAACATTTAAAATGCGAAATGTCGAGGAGGGAGAAGGACGATGAGCACGGGTCAGCGATGAAATCGCGTGTCGGGCTTCCATTCGTGAACGTTTCCTAACCCGCGACAAGATTCCGCGTGGGAAGAAATATTCGAGGAATCAGGATTACAGAGAACCCTACGTGTGTAAGTACACCGAAAGAAAGATCTGATAATAACCAACAGAAGCCCGAGTCATACACGGTAAAAAAAACATTTTGTGCTTTGTAGTTGTGTTAAAATTGGTCCTTGTTAGAATTTTTGTGTTAAATTCTTAATATATCCGTGTGTTAATTTAACGTATTGTGTTCATATTATCTTAACAGTTTCTGTTATATCGATATTCAACAATATATGAGTGTTAAAATAACACATATTTTATATTTCAATGTCGATTATCGTATTAATTTTATGTTAATTTTTGACGTAATATTTGTATTATCTTTTAATATATTCACCTTGTGTTAAATTAACACAAAAATTTTAGTAAATCGTTTGGGATATGCGAAATGTATTAAATTCGATATAAGATTTGTTATTGTGTAGTTACCAAATGCTTTGATGAAATAGTTTCAACTAAATGTAAGGTGAATATAACCAAAAATGTGGTGAATACTAACAAATAACCTTAGCAAAGTTTGATATTTTTGCCAAGGTTTGGTAACTATTATTGATTTATGTCGTATGTATCATCAAACAATCTGTTAAATAAAACTATATTATTTAGTATACTTACCACATTATGTGGACAATATTAAGAATTATCAAATAATTTGGTAACAGCTTTCCAAATGTTCTGATAATTGTGAAACAATTTGATAATCACTATAAAGTTCTTTGATATTAATTACCAAACAATTTAATTGATTCGACTTCTTCAAGAATTTGTTCAATCAATTATTATGTGTTTATTACCAAACAGTTAGTGACTATTACCATACTTGAAATTAATTACCAAATATTGCACTGAAACACTCGACCAAATATATTTGTCGAGACTATTACGAAACTTTTTTCCAATGTAAGCTCCGTAAGCCCCTTCAAATATTTTCCGTGTTGAGCGACTGAACGTAAAATTACCGGATAGAATTTTGTCCCGAATTAATTATTGCTCGTTAATTGCCTCGCGATCGAGATTCGCGAATAAAGCTCACGATTCGTCTTTTTAAGGATATCAGTATCGTATTATTACAGAAAAAAAGAGAGGGTGCATCTATTTTCTGAAAAAACAGTTTGAAAATTTTCTTGAAAAATCTAGCCACAGATGGATCGTTCAAAGTGAGCTTTTCGTCGGTAAGGCAACGAGAGAACAAGTCGAGGATTATTCGTCGATCGATTCAGATTTAGCACATTTGGCGGAAATATTTAGAGTCCTCGTCTTTGCACTGCAATGACGATGGACGAATATCCTCTTGTTAATAGTTTTAGAACAACGACCGCAAGAGATCGTGCGCGTTTCCCGGCATCCCTTGCCCCTTTACTATGATTTTACCGATGTCTTCCACGCTCCTGAGTACGGACCGTCGAAATAACGGCGTTGCATCCTGGGGATAGTCGCGTTTTTAGTGCGAAACCTATCGCAACAGTGGCGGACGTTTACGAGAGTTGAGAAAGGCGGAAGGAAGCAGATCAATATTCTCAATATAAGGAATCGAGCGACCTTGTACAGGTCGGGGAGCGAGGAAATGCCGAGGATGAAAGAGTTGTACGAAGGAGAAAGGCGTCCCTTATATATGGTATTCATGTACGAGCATGAAAATGTATTCTGTATGTATATATGGCGAATGTATCTGAATCATGCTTTCAGTCTGATTACGCGAAATTTTGATTTAACAACGCAGAAGCGGCGCATAGCGGATCGATTCGCGGGATATATAAATTATTAATCTCGCGTCGGTGCAACTAATTATCTTTCTCATCAAATGTTAACGAGATCCGATGTAAAATTTTACGCTTTCATTCGGAAACGCCGTTACGCCTGTATTATTCAGCCGGCAGGCGAAGACCGGGCTTGCCGTGCACAAACGAAATCGCACGCGCGGGCGCGCGGCCGTCAAATATTTGCACGATCTAAAAATAATCGCGAGTCGTACCGGAGTGATCGCACGACGAGATAAATTAAATATTTGCCATTATGAGTAAAGAGATATGCTGAAAATGTACTTACCAAAAGTACAGCGATTACGTTACGCTCGAACTTTCGTTAACGAAGCACCGTGTTAAATGCGACTCATGCAAACAACGGAATTATGGCTCCGGCCGAGGATACGCGGCAGTTAGTTCAACTTTTCTCCGCTTTTCAATATTATACGGATCGATGTGTGGATAATATTGAATCGACGGTAATAGAGATCTCGGCATTGATCGCTCGCGGCAGACAGATACGTGTTGTTCGAGTTGAAAGTTTCGGGGAGAAACCGGCACTTCCAATTTATCCGCGAATATTTTTGCGGATAGCTTCTTGCGCCTTCTTTATGAAAAAAAATTGATGTTGCGGATTTTAAACGAATACACGTGAATTTTTCTTAAGGAATTTTTCTACTCTTGACACAACAGAACAAAAACCGAAGAAATCCACGGAAAAGTTCGAGAAAACCGGGTTTTTTTCCAATTTCTCCGTGGATTTTTTCGACTTCTTATCTTCTTTATAAAAAAAATATATGCGACAAGTTTTAGTTAATCACACGCATAGAAAAAAAATAATTAATTCCTACAGTTAAAAACTAGTTATTCGTATCATATAACTGAAATTTAGTTGCCAGTTTCGTTTGTTTAGGCACCAGACTTAGTTTGTAACTATGGGAGCCAATTTTTATGACCATATTCGTATATGGAAAAAAAAAGAATTAGCTCCCACAGCTAAAGATTAGGTTTGGTAAGCAAATTTCAGTTATATTATATTATATAGATAGCTGGCTTTTAGCTCTTAGGGAACTTATTCTTTTTTCGGTGGGTGAATTTTTCTGTCCTTACGACAGAAGCCGAGAAAATTCGTGGAAAAATAGGAGAAAACCGGATATTTTTCCGAAACTATATTCGCGTTCCTTTCCGCGTTATCACGAATTCGAGTACTTCAGGATGTATCGCGCACCGCTGAACACCTAAATAATCGGAGGACTAGACGTCCCAAGCCGGAGTGGTTCGATACGATTTATCGGATTCGCTTGAAGTGCGAGGTCGCGTCTAAATTGCGAGCCCAGCTGGCTCGTGGGTCTCCGCTTTCCGGCTTCGGGACGTCGAGTCTCTCGAATTTGTTTCGGAAGCGCGCGATTTCTAACCTGAGGCTTGGGCGGTTGGGGCTGCTGTACCACCGTTTGCTGGCTCGCCGGTTCCTCCTTCTTCCTCTTGCCGGCACGCTCACACTCTTGAAGCTTCTTCATGACCCGCGGTGAGTCCGTGAGGCGAAAGATGCCGGAAAGGGGCCCGCGCGCGGCGTCCTCCGTGTCCAGGACGCGCTCCCGCAAAGCCGACGGTTCCTCCCGCGACGACGTGAACCTCACCGTTGACCGGGAGTCGCCGTCGGAATCGTCTCCGTCGCGGTGACGCATGAATCGGCTCCTATATCGGGATTTGTTCCTGGGCACTTCGTACTCGGGCGCATCGTACCTGATACAGAACGGCCATGTCGATCAATTAGATTGCCGTCGACGTCGAGAAATCGGACTCTCTCGGCCCGAATCCGTCGAGCTCGCCAATAGCAATTCCTCCGACGACGCCACCGACAATCTGCCTACACGACATCTCGATAAATTATACGCGACGGAACAGCCTCGGACGTTTCAGTATCTCGGAGCGCGAAGGAAGAGAGAGTGACTTGGCTCGAATCTCTGATCGAGGAATTTTCACGCGCGGCCCGCCGATAATGTTTTTACGGGCACACTTGGGGTAACAATGAAGACTCGTAGAGAATGTTTTCTATCGCGTCATTCTGAAACTATAAAATTTTCACGGAAGCGATGAATATCCGAACGTCGCCCGGGATGCGACGTCGTTGCGTCAATTTTGAAAATTAATGTTGGCAATTAATATATGCTTGGAAAATTAATAGTGGAAAATTAATGGTGGAAAATTAATATATGCAATTAATATATTAACAATGTGAAGGCAAAATTCATAACGGATACTATTACTACCATTATTTTGTCGAATATCACGAACGCGAGGAAACCCGAGTCGAAATTTTGGCCATAGATTAAACCTTTAATTCTAGAACGTAGCAGGAACTAAGGTAGCAGGATATATTCAATTTCAATTCTAATAATATAATACAATTCTTACTTTAATCCTGATCATGTATTAAATTTCTGTTTTTGCTGTTTTAACGTCAAAATAGATTGTTGAAAGTAGCGTTAAAATTCAATCTGTAGAATTAAAGGTTCAAAGGAGAAGTTAAAATATATCAGTACCATCAAAGTAGGTTTTTATTAATCAAAAAAATTAAAGAGAGACAAAGTATTGTAGAACGTAAGTGTGGATCTCGAAATGCTAAAAAAGAAATTTAAAGATGTTTTAATTTTTTCTTAACATTTGGAGATTCATGCTTAAGCTCTTAAATGTCCGATCTCTTTTTAATTTTCTAATTGTATGTCAAAGGGTTTTTATTTTAATTAAATTTATAGGTTTTTATTAGTTTGTAGATTGTCTAAACAGACTGTCTTTAAAGGCGTCAGAATATCCGAGTCGAAATTTTAGTCCTACTTTAATTCTAATTTAGTTCTACATTAAATCTAATTTAATTCCACATTAATCCTCAAAGATTTTCCATTCTATTCTTTTGATGCTACAATGAGAAAGTTATTGTCGTTTCTTCCCCTTAAAGATTTAGTGTAGAATTAAAAATTTCGACTCGGAAAACGTCAAAATTTCGACCCGGGAAAGGGTCTAGTGTGTCGTCGTTTTGAGTCGAACGCCCTTAGATTGCTATGTAAGTAGATCAAGTCGGTCGCAGGTCAGACGTGCGTATCAGGATCCTTTCGGATTGTGCGAAAACGTCGAAAACGTCCGTCTCGTCTCGTCCGTAGCCGAAATCGTAAGCGACGAATAAACAAGTTATCGCGGACGGATCTCGCAAGAACACGTGTCGTTGATACGCGTCACTTGAAATTATGATAAGGGCCTACGAACTGAAATGCTAATCTGCTTTATAGTCAGATTATCTCAGTTCGATTCGAGAGGACGTTCCGGAGGATTGCCGGTGACAGGACGAAATGATATTAGGGGATCTCCATCTTCCACCCCCTACATCATCTCCTTCGATATTCCCGCGAAAGCTGGTCCTTTGATAGGTTCTATCAAATTTTTGCCTTATCTTTGAACCCTTTAGGTGCCAAAGTGTGTTGCCGACAATAGCCTCGCGCGCGCCACTCTGTCCTGATAGCGAGAAAAAGTGTTCGCGGGCTATAAATACTTTAGCGTTATATACGTATTTATATAACGAAGAAATTATGAGTTAAAAATATCGTAGCGTCGATGAGTATTAACAACGCTTTTGCGCCGACAAGTTGCACGGCCACAACGACGCGTCGAGATTTATCTCCGCGTGTTTAACGATTTCGCGATTTAACGAACAGCTAAAAGCGAAACGTCCAAATTGAATTACCCAAGCTTTTTATCCGTCGTCTAAAAACATAAGAAATCCGAATGTTCTTTTTCATCCCCCTTTTTTGTCCTCGAGGTCGATGAGTCGTCGCGACGGTTTGCCTAATCGATCCACGAGAATCGCGTGACACTCGAGGGATTGGCCACTTTGTTAGCGGGAAAATCGATGAACTAATCGGGAAACATCGACCGGAATGTGTTTTCATTTCGTGCGAGACGGAGAGAGAGAGAGAGAGAGAGAGAGCTGTGACCGAAACCACGGAAAAATCGGCGCGGTATGCGCCTGGTCTTTTAATCGGGGCCGGCTCGAATACTGTGAGCGATTCCCGTCAGAGGAATTGCAATAACGCGTTCCGTGAAATCCTCCCTCCAAGAGAAGTAACCTTGTTCGCGGATCGCAATAAAATCCACGCGGAGCGAATGGACGAAGATAAATAATTAGACGCCGGTTTTTGATGGTTGACGGCTTCCGGGATCCCCGGGGAGGGGGAGACGCCGTTATTAAAAAACTTTATGGTCGAAGGTGTCTCGCGTTCCTCCAAGCGAGGGAGAAAGAGAAAGGGAGCCTGGAGAATCGTGAGATATTTCTTCTGTATCACCGTCTTTTCTCACCGAGGCGAAAGCTCTATACGCGATTCTCAAGCTCGGCCGCTCCTTTTTCCTCGTGTTCCGCCGCAATTACTGAAAAGCGACGCGAAAACGAAACACGACTNGAAAACGAAACACGACCCCCCCCCCCCCCGCGCACGCTTTCTGTTCTTGATTCGTTTTAATCGCACCTATCTCTGCATTCACACGCTATTTAAAAGGTCGAATAATATCGATTTCAGGCAGTTGACCGTTTAGCTACATTTCCGCCGATACGGTATCGGGTGTCGTCACGCTCCAAAACGTTAGCAAGAAAGCGCCGGCAACAGCGGCGTTGACGGGCATTCGCGTGTATTTCGGCTTTTCACGCTACGCAATCGACAAAAAAAGAGAGAGGAAAAAAAAGAGAAAAAACATACCATATATACGTGCACATATACACACTCACGGATAGAGAATGAACGGAACGTACACAAGGGCTCGCGCGCGCCCGCCTCTTTCTCGAACGAGTATTGTGAAAAACGGTACGGGTAATCGAGTTTTCGCTGTGAATATCACAAGGCGAATGTCAAAAATAAATACCGTTACCGCGGTGTTCCGCATCGCGTAGCGGAAACGGTGAAAACGCGCGTCGCCGGTAGGGATGCGCATAAGCGATTTCGCCACGGCGCACGTGATATTCAGGTCGGCGGGCGCGCGAGCAACAAATTGATGGGACCTCCGCGGCGAATAATCGTATTTTCTCTAATAATCGCACAAAACGACCGCCACGCGTAATTATATAACAAACGGAACAGACGGCACGAGCCGACGGCGGACAAGAGGGCGAACGGTCGTTCAGTCGGGAGAGAAGGAGAGAAGAGGTCGCGATTCCCGTATGTGAAATAAGTCTTTGCAGCGTTCGCCAGCGTTAACTAAAAAGTACGTGCTCGCGCGCGTACTTAAAGCATTTAATTTACATTTTGACGAGGCCGCTTAATAAAACGGCCCGGCGAGTGGGCTTTAACGACTAGCATTGCACGAAACAGGCAGCAATTAAACCCGACGCGCCTATTCCGGAGTTGAAGGTACCTTTGAGTCGGAATAGATGAGAGGAGGAAGAGGAGCGATGCGGAGGAGAATGACGACGCGAGGAGGACGATAGAGAGAATGAGAGAGACAGAGGTAGAGAGAAAGAGAGGGAGAGAGAGTGACGTCGGAACTACTACACGTTTATTTATAACTTATACCGAAATAGAGATTAGCACGGGACGTTTCGAAAAATCCGTCTCTCCTTCCGCGTCGACGGGACGGGAAAAAAATCTCGGAGAGGAATATAATTTTCCTCGCTAGCGAATTTTTCACCCGCCGTGGGCGAACGGAAGGACGGACAGATGTGGCTGTACTGCGCGTATTCGCGTGATCGATTTAATACGCTCCTTTTGGCGGAGCCGGATATGTATTAATTATGACGCGTGCTTCTCGGCGTGCTCTCGACGCAGCAGGGACGGTGATTATTGTTATTATTATTTCACGGCGAAGCACGTCGTATCGTCGCGCTACCCGTCGACTAAAATTTTATAATTAAAACGCGATGTTTTTCCCGATAGTCGTGCGATGGTCGTGTCGCAGCTGCGTGTCGTTAAAACTATAATAGCCGTGTAAACGATATTTGTATGGAAATATCATTTAGTGGCGCGCGTGCACACGTCGATATACGCGCGATACGGGAAGTTGTGATTTGAAAAGTGATCAGGCGGACGCGCGCGCGCCACGTGCAGCCATTGGGAGTGGATTAACTATTAAAAATAGTGAGAGGAGTGAGTTTCATTCTTGGAAAAGAAAAGGATAACAGCGAGCCAGCTTTAAAGGAGGCGAGTATAAAGTGAGTTTTTTTTCAAATAATTTCAAATAATTAATAATTACACGTTAAAAATTAAACTGTTTACCTACTACACCGTTCCTCTAAGAGATTAAAAATACTGACTTTATAATAAAGGCCAATGAAGAGCAAAATTTGGATTTTGGAGACAAAAATTACATAATTACATAGAACCTAAAAAATTTACTTTAAACTCAGTCTTAGACGCGTATTTAGATACAATAAAGTTCTTTACTACGAAAATTAATTCTTTGTTTTTTAACACATTTAATGAAACAAAATAGAAATAATACTCGAGTCCAGTTAAGCTATCATATTTAGCGATATTTCCAGAATGTTGGAGAGGATTCCAGATCTTTTCATCAAACAAATACAAATTTTAGAAATAACAAAAAATTCAAATGAAGGTTTATTCTGTCAAAAGCAAATTAGATAATTAACCTCTGAAGAATAATATTCAAAAAATACTATTCAATAATGTCCAATAATATCCAATTTTTAAGGAAACACAATCAGGTGTGCTACTGACGATCATTGTTTGTTTTTTTGATTTCGTTTGTAAATAACTCGTTTTGGCCTGGTGGACAAACAAGAATGGAGAAACGTATACAAATCGTGGACAAACAATTCCACTACAAAATTTAAAGAAAACACAGGTGCGCTCATTGTGTTGTCGTAATATCACCGTTATTTTCCATTCTCATTAAATCCTTCGTCTTCTGTCTTCCATGAAGCTGTTTGTTGAACATGATTTCTTGTGATCGGATTATTTCGAAAAGGCTCAAATCACGTAAGCGAAAAGTGAGAAAAGTCTTTCTTAAAAATGAGAAAAAGCGAGATGTTTCCGAACAAATGAAGAAAAGTGAGCCGCTGCCGTGGCTGCACGCGAAATAGCTGCGGCGAACTCGAGGCGCTGAGATGAAAATTTGTGTGCACGGGCCACAGGTAGGTCCGATTAAAGATACCGCTCAAATTAGTCCAATTAGTCGGAATGCAATCGTAAATATGTCCCCGTGAACGAAACTAGAGGCGAACAACGGACGTACCAATCATCGTCGCGCGTCGATCCGCTGGCATTCCACCTGCATCGTTTATCTACGCTCTACGAGCGGATAAACACGAGTGGAATATTAATATCCTCCGTTATTCGCGCGCGGAGCTTCGAGCGGCGAGAGCCCGCGAGTTGCCGAATTATCGGGCCGAATTGTTGTTACACTTTCGCGGTGATAAATAAATAATAAAACGCGTCGCGCGCGCGAGCATCTATTTGGCCGCGGAGGAAGAAGTATGATTTTCTCAGCGCGCGCGCGCGCGCGCGTGCGTGCGTGTCGCGAGTTTATTATTCGCGGTCGTGTTCTCATGCCTCCGCGCCTGTCCTCGCGTAAATAAGACCGTGCAGAGTCGCCGCGGAGACGGCTGATTTATCGTTTACGGAAAAACCAGACCGAATCTCACCGCCGTAAATTAAGGGGCCGTCGCTCGCTCTTGCGCGGCCCGATCTTCCCCGGCTGATCCGAGGACACCTCCGGTCTTTGTCGACTGTTGTCTTGCAGTGCGCAGCCGGCCCCGAGGTGCACGGGATAAATTGGTCGCATTGATAAATGGCGGGAGAAATGCTCCTGTCGGCCGAGGGTTTTTCTAATCGGGTTAAGTCGCGCGACCGATGTTAAAGTTGAAGTCTACGCAAGTAGCTTCTCCTTCGTTTTCTCCCTCTTCTTTGAAGGGGAAGAAATCTCGGTAGATTAATCCTTTAATCCGACGTATCGACAGTTAGAAAAGAAAGTTTCTGCTATTTTATGTAGATCAATGGAAATGCGATCAAAGGAAGGCGCGGCATGTACGAAGTAATAAGAAACGAATAATCTTAGCTTGTGCAGGAAAATTTGATTATAATATCTCGAAACGTCTCGTAATAAATTCAATATCGCCATTAATTTAATATCGAAATAAAACTGGAATTAATAATACTTAAAAAACACGAGCGAACGAATAAAAAACGGTGAAGTGGTCTCAATTAATCTTCGCGACAACAAGCGTCGGGTAAATGGTTTACGAAGGGGGAAGGGGGGGGTATCGATCGGTGATTCGCGGCGATCCCGGTGAGAACGATACAGGACATTTCGGCACCCGGGATAACGAATATAAAAAGGAAGCGATAGTTACTCGTATTCAGGCACGTATCGATTCCTGGCCAGCCGTTCCTCTTCTTGCTGTCTGTACTGCGAGGCAAGACGGTGATCGCTCTTGCTCCTCATAAGGCCGGGCGAACCCCCAGGTGGGGCTAAACAGCTGGAGCTGCCGAGCAATCCGCCGCTCCCGCTCTCGGGTTTAATGTTCAATTCGCCATAACCCGCCACGTGTAGAACAAGCTGATTCGGATCGTGCGCCATCACGAAGCGGACACGCCGGCTGTAATCCCCCGCCTCGTACTCGAAGTTCCTGCAAAGGACAATCGTTCACTTACGTGCGTTCAGATCGATGCTCCAATCGCAAGCAAGATCAATCTTCGAGGAGTGATGTGACAACGAGAGGAAGTTACGGATTAAGGGGTCGGTTCGACGTGGAAAATGTGTCGCCAAGTAGAGAAAATAGAGAAAAATGCTGTTGAATCGGTAAAATTTACAATGGTAGCAAATATCATTATAACTATCATGTTATATATCGCTGCGATGATTAAAATTGGAAATATTAGTTTCAATGATATCACTATTGAATCAAGATTTCCTTCAGTTACGCGTGCTGCAGGAAATTCGATTTATTCGACAGAATTTGTTTTCCGTGCAGTACCACTCGTAGGTTGCAAGCTGGAGAAAGAGTCCAGCGTGTATATCACAGTGTCGGATAATTTTATTCTCCCGCTAACACGTAAAAATTTCGCGCCTAACATCCAGCGACGGCTCTGATTTTCTTATCGACCTTATTCGTTCTCACTGGTTGTATACTATTAGAGCCTTTATATCTTTCGCTGTTTGGATCATACCAGCTAAAAGAAAAGCATTAGATTCTGTTATTTAGGGACCATTCAACAATTACATCACACCACGAGGGAGAGTAAGGGTAATTCCACATGTCACGTAATACTGGGAAGAGGCCTGAATATGTGATGAAATATGACGAAGGAGGAGAGGAAGGGTAGGAAATATTCCAATTTCGCGTGACGTAATTGTTAAATAATCTCTTATATACAATAGTGTTGCGTCGAATACTGCGCCGAAGCTTCCGTGGCCAAATTGGTACGGCGCCCTGTCTGGTAAGCAAGGAAGTCCAGGTTTGACTCTTGGTTAAGGCAATATTTTTCGCAACACTTATATTAAATTTCTATAAGATCCGAAGATATATTTTAAATAAGGGGGGGGGGGTCGAGGTATTAATTAGTATGAATATTAGCTGAGGATTAAGGAGGTCGGTTCGTGAAAAATGTGTCACTAAATGACACCTCTCATGATATAAAAGGCTCCGGCGCGTGCGTTACACCGTCGGACAGTTTTATCCTCTCGCTAAGACTTAAAATTTCGCGTCCAACATTTAGTAGCGACGGTTCTTATTTGCCGATCGGTCTTATTCGTTTTCACTGATTATATTCTATTAGAGCCTTTATATCTTTCATTGTCAATAAAAAGAAAGAAGAGGAGGAAGAGAGAACGAGAGACGGGGCGGGAAAAGAGAACAAAATGACGACGACGACGAGGTACGCAATTTCCACATTACGTTATCCCGCGCTAATAAAAACGAACTCGTGATGGCGGACTGTTCGCGGGAAAGGATGCGTCTCTACGCGCGATTAATTTCAATTAGACGCTTTCTCATCCACGCGCGTATTCTCCGGAAATCGGGGCAGCGACCCGAATACCGCATCGCCGACCGGCACCGTCCGTCCGTCCGCTCAATGCCGGCCGAATCTACTTGGCTGGAATTTCGGCATGTGGTAGCGGCGACGCTTCCATTTAAATAATGCACCGGAAAAGATTACGCGAGCGCGCGTGCGACTGCGGACGTGACGCGAGCTTTTAAAATTCATCGCGCCGTTAATTTGCCGCATTAATTACCAATGAAGCATATACCCCATCCCCCCGTGAAGGCAGCACCGACACGTATTTTATCGCGCGAAATCCGTGCCAGAGAGAATCGCCATCGCGTCGTCCCCTTCGCACATCCGCCCGGATATTTTCGCACGCGGCATCGGCACGCGCGTGATTAAATCGCACTTGACTCGACAAACGTGCAATTTTGTTGCGCGCTTCTGCTTCTGTGTCCGCCTGTAATTCGCCGGGGCGTAGATTTCATGGCGGCGCGTGCGGTAACGTCGAACGTTACATTACGAGGCTATCGCTGGATTTACGCTGCATTCACAATGCTATTAACACAAATCTCCGCAGGAATTCATGCAGCCGATGCCCGATATCTCGTATCGACAGCGCCCGAATTACAAAATCCTCTTTTTCAGTCGGGATTATAACCGACAGACCTNCCCCCCCCCCCCCCCTCCTTTCTTTTCATCCATTACCGCCGTGGACCGTCTTTCGAGGCAGCTTATTATTTTCTCGAGGATCCCGCTCGACGACGTCGCCCACGAGAAGTATCCGAGGTCTGTCCTTTTTCGCAGTATCTTCTTGACATAAACATTTCCAGGAAATAACATTGCACTAATGGAGGTTTCTTGTGGAGGTTATCTGGGAATATCGAGTATAGGTATCCTTCGTGTAGAAAACATTCCAGTGACAAACCAGATGCCATTTTCGATCGGAAAATCGGAGGTGTACAGACTCTAAATCGAGGGACTCCAGAGTGAATAGTGGAGAAACACAGTGATCGTTTATCCATTTAGATGCTCGATCCCCTTTCCTCGATAAACAACTCAACGTTTGACGCGACAGAGATTCGCGACGATCAGCTCAACGTGGCACACAGACAGGTCGCGATAAAAGTCGAAATAGACGGAGCGCCGATGAGGAGAGGAGGCGTCACGGAAGGACGGGGGCGCCGAAATTGAAATAAAATAGCTCACGGCGATAGGACCGACGGGCGACCGGGATCGTTTGGTTTAACGATTTTTTTCGGATTCGCCCGTAAAAGGGGGGCAGCCAGTGGCCGGATAGATAGCCGATAATAAATCGCGCTAGGGTCGCGCGTTACGCGCGGAGAGAAAGAGAGATTCTCCTGGTGCGGATTTAACAAGCGGGACCGACCGGGGAAGGAATGGAAAAAAGGCGGAGGGGGGGGGGGGGGCCAGGGGGGCCANGGGGGGGGGGGTGGCCAGGGGGGCCAGAGAAATTACCGGTGGGCGCGACTAACCTGATAAATTCCACGGTACGTAGGAAGAGTTCCTTTGTGTCCAGCAGCTCGGCGTCGTCCCACGGTACGTTTTCGTTTATGTGCGCCTCCGCCAGATCGCAGTTGCTCTGGATATTCGCGATTTCCAATTCGAGATTCTCTTTGAGCTGAATCAGGCCTCTGAGCTCGGCACCGAGGTATCGATCGACCTCGTTACGCAGATGTTCCGTGCGGTCTTTCAGAGCCTTGCTCAGCCTCCGATAAATCTCGTCCACCTCTTCGGCGACCGAGGCGCAGTTTGTTTGCAGACCCAATGTGTTTTTCTCCACTAGGGCCAACGCGTCTTGCAGCCTATGCAGACCCCGGCGCACCTGAAGGCAGAAGGCCGGCCGGCGGTTTGACATATCAGGAATATAATTCCGCGCGCGAGCTTAATTCCTCCGCTTTCTCTCTATCCCGCTCCCTTTCGTTGTCTGCGCTACTCGATCGATCGTGTAAACAGCGAATAAACGAGAACGCATAGGGGACAAATTAATATCGACCGCCCGGATAATTCAGCGATCTGTTTCAATAGATCGAACGATAGAAAAATCACCGCGAGAACCCGAGTCGAAATTTTAGTCCCACATTAAGTCTTCAAGAGAAAACGGAAATGACTTCCTATTTGTAACATCAATGGAACACTAATAGCGCTCTTTTTATGTTACAACGGGAATTTAGACCACCGGGGGGCAATTTTAACTTCTATATTAAGTCTTCAAGTGGAGAAAACGGAAATAACTTTCCATTCGCAGCATCAAAGGGAGTATAATAGAAGACATTTGGAAACTTAACGTAGAACTAAACCTCTTTCAACGCGAAAGAAAACGAAAGCTTCTTCTAACTTTTACACGTTCAATTTTTTTTAATTAACTTACTTATTTTCTGTTCCATTTTCTATGAAATTCAGTGGCTCGGAGATCTCGAGAAGAGAATGTATAGAATAAATGCGTGTTAGAGGCCTGTTCTTTTTAGCTGAGCTCAACTGGAACTCTGATTCTCTTCCTTTCGATGTTACGTTATACGAGTACATTTTAACGGAAAAAGTGCAACTTAGTTCGATTACAAAGAACAGACCTCAGGTATGCGTTGTGAGATACCTAATGCGCTGAAAAATGATTTCAGCCGGCCCGACATATTCGCCGCGCGAATTATCAACGGCGAGACTCCGTCCGCAATCTTTTCACATTTCCGCGCTATTTCGGTACGCGATCATGGCAGGCCCGTTCGCGATAAACTGAAATTTCTCGTTTTAGCCACACCGACGGCGGGCAAACGCACCCACGATTATATTTAGATCACATTATAGTTATGCCACGACTGGACCGACCCAGATATAGAGGCCTCAATGAACACGAGAGAGGCGGGAAGCCTAGCTGAAGCAATAAACGTAGCACGAACACATGAATATCACAGCACAGAGGCTCTAAGATTCGCGGGGCCCCTTCTGTGCTACGAAGAAGGGGCTTTGTGAGAGCGTCAAATTTTCATGAGCATATTCATAAGTCAGGTGTAATCTCGCCGGTCGTACGTGGATCGCCGCTAACCCCGTGTGTTAATTAAGTTTATCCGTTCTACGAGTAGAACTTTAATCTGGAGGGAGTTATCGAGTTATCACCCGGCTGCTCGATGATGACGAGCGACAAGTTGCAAGGGAGGAGGAGAAGGGGGAAGCAGTGGAGAGGAGGTGAAGCATGCCGAGCGACGCGACGTTTCGCGATTGTCTCGCCGAGTCAATGGGACAGTCCGTTCGGCTTCAATTAATCACTATGTAACCTGAAATACCTGGAATCGACACGTCGACGAGATTTTACATTCCAGTCAATTTCGCAAATTCCGGTGGCACACACAACGCACGCTCGGGAGTCATGCGCGCGAAATTGTGATTCGCCACGACGGGAGTGTCCCGCGGGACCGGCAATTCTTCCACCGAATCGCCGCGAGAGATAAAAATGGAAGCCGCGTATGTGGGACTCCTATATGTAATATTTGTTAGCGCAACACGTTTAAGGCGTAAACAATATTTGCTCTCTATACAGCGACGTCCCATCTAAATTCATAGAAGACATCCTGAAGATACACAATCAATATTGTACTATTCATGACTCGCCGCCGTTGAGAATAGACGAGAAGGTAAGGGATATCTCTCTCTCTCTCTCTCTCTCTCTCATATCCTCTTATCCTTTCATCGTACGTCGCGAATTGTTCGCCCGAGGAATTCCTATGGGGGCAGGCAGAAATTCGCGTTCTCGCGGAGATCTAGGCCGCGTCGCGCACGATTTAACGCGTCCGCGCGACTTGCGATCGTAGCGACATACGACGATATTATTATATCCCAAATAAAACAGCGCGGCCGCGTACGTACGCGTTTCAAAATTGCAGTTGAACAAGCGCGCTCAGCAGTTGGCGAAGAGCTTGGCGAGGGATGCGAAAGCGCCGCGGGAGGCTGTACCGTACGGCGAAAATGTGTGTCGGTGTCGCTTATCTGGATTGGAAAATGCGGCCTGATAAACTTTGTTAATGGATAACTGAAAAATGTGCAAAGCTAATTGTTTGCAAAATGATAAAGGATTTTTCTGCTCAGTTCAACCTCGTTAACTCGTTTAACACGTACTACCCATAGCCGCTTCGTCAGAACTTTCGGGACACTCTGTATTGTAGAAGCAAACATTATTTTATCATGCGGAAAGGTAGAGCAATTTTGTTATCCTACTAACGATCGTTTGCTCTCCTCTGGTATTGCAGGTATCGAGAGAACAGAAATTACGATTACGAAGCGTCACGACCGACAAATTTGACAAACGTGCGCAACTTCACCCAACTAGTGTGGAAAGGTTCGGAATCGATGGGCATCGGCGCGTACGTTGGGCTGGAGGACAAAGTTTACATCGTGTGCAGCTACGATCCGGTCGGAAATGTCGAGAACGAGTTCCAACGTAACGTGGCGCCGCCGAAGAAAGTAAGTATTAACGGAGACTTTCACGATAGCCCATCTTAGTCGAAATTTTGATGCTACTTTGACGTTCTTAAAGACAGTCTGCATCTACTTAGACAGCTATAGACTAATGAAAGTCTACTTTGATGATACTGACACTTTTTCATTTCTCTCTTGAACTATTATAGGTTGAATTTTAATGCTACCTTCAACAATTTATCTTGATGTTAAACGGCAGGGTTAAAATAAAAATTATATTATACTATTAGAATTGAAATACATATATCGAGCCTATTTAGCCATCTTAGATCCTACTATGTTATAGAATTGAAGATTTAACATTGGGCCAAAATTTCGACTCCGCCATTTCGATTTTCTTCACGGTTTGTCTCTCGAGGAAAATCGCGCATCCTCACGTGTCCCGTTCTCGCGTTTCTCGTATTAAACGATAACTGGAGAGGCAACAGGGACTCTTTCCTGAACTGTTCTACCGTTCCGTCTTGAATTCGAGAAGAGCGCGAAGGGACTGGAAACTCGAAACTTCCCTATAACGTCGCACGGTGCGTCAGAATCGCATAATTTCTCGCGACGCGGCGGAGTCGCGACGGCGCAGCAGCGTGTGGATGTCGCCTCGCTCGTTTATTTCTCACTCTTTGGCGAGGCCGCTTTTCAAAGCGGAATTTTATCATGGAGCCGTTATTTCTCCCGCGGGAAAATTTTACGTCCGCATCGTAGCGACGAAATCGCGCGCAACTCGGTTAAATCGTGAACGATTAAAATAAACAAATCAGATTTTTCGCGAGGGAGATCGTCGCGCGAACACCGCCGTTCATGTTATATTTGCTGCTCTCTCGCCCAATGGTAATCAATGAAATTTTCCAGAGTGCACGGGATAGAAATTATATTAATGGCTTAAATCGCACGCGACGAATTTGAGAGAGAGGGAGAGAGGGAGGGAGAGAAAGATAAAGGGAAAAAATGTGCGCGACAGGCTTTGAAGGAAAAATTATTTTATACGGAAAATACTTTTGCCATATCCTCCCCTGCCGCGTCCCACGCGGAAAAAATAAAACATCCGGTAATATCTGTTTCCTATGTATTGAGCGTAAACACAATTTTACGAAGTGTCATACCGTAAACAGTACGTTCCGCGCGTGAGTCTTTTTCACAAATTGATTAAATCGTGTACCATTAAAATAAATAAAACGAGCCTTTTAAGAGAGGATTATTTTGCACGTTGTTTCGCGAAATAAATGGTCGTTTTTACTTCCTTTTTTCCCCCTCTCCCTCTTCCTTTTTTTTTATTTCGGGGATAATCGGTGTTTTATCACTTTTTCGCATGTGGAATACATATGAATACGCGCACAGCAGACAATTCGCGTTATTACGCGCTACATCTGTTAAAATCAAAAGGAAATAGAATTAATTAAGACTGGCCGCTTTGACGCGCAGTTGAGAAAAACAGCGTTCATATTGCAGCTGCTAATGTCCGAAAGCGCCATCGCGTGCGATGATGAGACTCGTGTGCATATCATAAGAGTGTAATGCCAGACCGAAAGCCTTTTGCGATTTGCGGCGAAAGCTGAGCTTGTTAGCTAATTAATTGGGAGCGGAAAAATTGGCCGCGTTGTATTATCAATCGCCTTCGGGAGGATTCGCTGGGATTTGTTCATTAACTAATTAAATCAAATGAAAAAATATGTAGTATCAGCGCGGAGGCGAGCGACTCCATCGTGTATAGAAATAAAAAGTACAAATCTCGTAATTTATACTTTTTTTATGTGCAATAAGCAAATTAATAAAGCATGATAATTAATTTAAGAGAAATAACGAAAGACCATCTGCACAGAGAAAAGATTTCTTTAGATTTAGTATACGTGTTAGTTTGATTTGGATTTGTTTGATACATACTACATAATTAAATATCAAATATCATTTTTTGATGAAAATATTGTCGTTTCATTAGAGTGAACTATGCTGTTTAATGAAAAAAAAAATAGTATTATTTATTTATTTATTTACGAAGAAATAATATTTCGTTTTTAATACAAAATTTATTTTATTATATATTAATTAAGTATTAATAATAATAATAAAATTAAATATTATTTCACTGAAACAAAAAGAAGTTTTTTAATATTTTTCTGACATAGTGTTATTTCTCCCAAATCATTTTTATTTATTAATAATTATTATTTGTGACAACCATTGTAATGTTTAGATAAAAATACAGGAAAAAATATATTTAATCGACGTAAAGATATTTATTGCTTGAGAAACCGAACAGCCCTGTTTGTTGAATTAAACATTTGTTTGCCTTATTCGAAAAGACAAATTTGTTTTGATTAAAGAAATTTTGTTAATAAATCTTTTTTTATGTATACTTAGGCCTTACTCGTGTCTTCTCTCCGCGTATTCCCTGGCTTCCGTGGATTTCTAAGGAAGATTTCTAATCTTTATGATTTTATAACATTCAACGTTGAGCATTTTGAAAAGCAGCGTTCGAAATTAAGATTTTGCCCGAAGGAAATATTTGATTACCTTTTTTTTTTTACTTTTTACTTTCGTTCAATGTGTGAAACGGGTTTGATATATTTCCAAATTTTCATCGCTAAAATTTTTAGAATTGCCATTTCGAAGTCATACAATTTTTTCATAGCGTGCAAACGGCAATGTGTGTGCGTGTACTCGTATACGTGAGTGTGTACTTTTTTATTGTTATTTTTGCTACTTTATCGGACCTCACGAGCGATGCGCTTCCGAATCACCGACAGAACCAAAATGAAATACGAACAGCGATCAGCGTTGATTTTCCCACGGACGCCGGGAAAAGCGAGCATATTTCAAGCACGCGCGCACACGCGAACGCGCAATTTCCGCGACGCGCGAAACGAAGGCGGATTCGACGAGTCGCGTTGGGCAGAGCTTTGATCGCCGAATATCCAGCTTGTCGATGCGCTATCTCGCTCTATCTCTGGACTGTCTCAAAGACGATCGCGTCCGAAGTTTATCCCGCCACTGGAAATAGACGTGATTCATCGCCGAACGTCATCTTCTCGTTCGATGTGCGCGATGTCCGCCGGTCTCGTTAGATCGTCAACGCTATTTGTAACGTGCGCGGAAATTGTCTGATCGAACGAAGTTCGAACGATATGATATCTGAATATGAGTTTTCTCATGATATTAATTATTAATTTGTACGATTTCTCGGTAAAATCAGAGTTCATCATGCTTCATATCTCGGTATAAAGCTTTTGTACAATCTGTCTTGGATTGTATAATAAAAAGCTCCTCACAGAGAGACAAAGAGAGAAAGAGATTACAATAATTTACAAATAAATGATAGAAGCCAAAATTACAGGTGAAGGTCGCTTAAATTTATTAAATTTTGGTACAAAATTATAAAATACGAAACGTTTCGACTCTACTTTAGGTCTTCTTTAGTCGTGATACAAAAGAACACTATGAATGATATTATGAAGTCAGCCGATCCAAAAACACATACTTGCTCGGTTGACGAACTAAGCATATTTTGATGGAAATCCTTTCGGGGTTGGTTGACCTTTTTATTTGGAATTATCTTAATTGGCCATCATCAATTGTAAAGCACCAATCGAAAACTAATTGAAGATATATTAATAGTTGATAACTGATGCGATATTAAATATAATGTAGTCAGAATATTAACACTTATATACCAGTGGCAGAAGTGTTGTGTAGGTCCAAAAACCGATCGAAAACAAAGATGGTCATATGGTGAATCTAATATATCGAATAACACTAATTTGTCAATAACATATGTAGTTTGAAACTGGTACAAGAAATAAAAGCTACAAAAGTCAATGTCAGCATAGGTTATAAAAATTCAAAAATTAGCAAATAAATAACAATTGTGTGTCTTTGAACTGACTGAATTCATGATACAATTAATAGTATCCTCTTGCATTACGACTGAAAGTAAGATCGAAAGGTTTCGTAATTTTATATCAAAATTGAACAAATTTAATTTTGCGGCTTTCAATTTTGGCTTTTATATCATATATGATTATCTTCAATTATAATCGATAATCGTATAATCGATTTTGTGGATACAGAGTCCTCGTTAAACGTAAATCGCCCGATATCCGGAATCGCGAGATCTCTTCCCGTATTTCTATGAACTTATGACAGATCGTTTGACGGGAAAACGGGTTTTGCGCATCCACATTTTTTATTTAATTCGCTTGTTTATTCGCAATCGATACGGTTTGTATCGGGTAAAGGCGCCGCCGTCGGCGGGATTCAACTGGCTACATATTGCACGACCGTCCGCGGGATAACGAGAGAAACTCGCGTCGCAATCTTGTTTCAACGTACATATATACCTTACGCCCAACGGTTAATTACAATGCGCGGCGATAAATTTTCCGTTAGGACGCCGAGGGGCACAACGTAACAAATTTAAAGTACATACCTCGATACCGGATATCGCGCAGCACAACAGTTTCCGCTTTCCGAAATGCGGTTATAACGTCTACCGAGACGAGGCAAAAAGAAAATTAGTTATGTAACTGGTTAAATTAGTTTCCACGATCGGTATAAGCTACGTTTCTCGCTGCAAGCTTGCCCCTCGGCCGAATATAAGGTAAGAAAATTTGATCGATGTCGACAATTGCTCACGAAAACGCGATAATAATGGAAAATTCTAAAAGCGGTCTCGTTTAATTCCTCATAATCGCTTCATTGATGTGGAGTTTCGCGCAATATCGAAGTATCGCACAATACGGTCAGATATAAATTACTAATTAATCTCGCGTGTATTCATTACGACGAAAAGTGTCTTAATCAGAATATCTCTAATTTTTCTCAAGCACCAAGATCTGCAAGTAATCCTCACCTTTTTTTATGAGCCTTGGATATACTGTAGAGGAACAAAAATAAAGGGAAATATTCCTCCATAAATGCTATGTTTGGAGATTAGAATTTCTCGTGAAACTAATTCCATACATTTTGATTATAGGAACAAATATCTTTAAAAACCGTAAGATATATAGGGAAATGTTTTAGTAGAAAGTCTTATAGTATTTGATATATTTTATTATTGTATTGTATATATTTAGATCTTTGAAAATTTTTATAACTTTTTAATATACCCCCATATCTCATTATTATTTTTGTAAATTTCAAGATTTTCATAAGATCAAAAATTATAGAGAATCTAATGTTGGCACAAATTCAGTTATGTGTAATAATCCAATTATGTGTAATATAAATATTTTAGGAATATCGCTAATCACACATTTTTAGTCATACAAGTAAACGTCGCGATATAAGTAGATGCAAACGCACCACATCAGGCGATGTATCGCGTACATGCAGGGCAGGGCGCAGCTCGACTATAACTACTTGCATTTTTATGAGCACAAATATCTTTGAAATTGCGGGATATAAACAAAGTATTTTATCCAAAAATGTGTTTATATTTGCAACATTTTGTATCTATGCACTTAGATTTTAAAACATTTTTCAACACACTCCAGTCCTCATTATTTTTGCGAATTTCACAATTTTTGCAAAGACGACAAATTGGAAAGAATTTTATGCCAAATACAATCGTGTGCAGTGAAATTATTTTCTCAAATTACATTCTTGAAATATATACAAATAAATACCACACTTTAAGTAGATGCAAACACGCTGTGTCGGACGTGCCGCAAAGCCCGCGAGTTGGCTTCGAAGGATTGCTTCAACGTCTAAACACGTGAGGAAACGCTTATAAAAGACACATGTCTTTTATTTTTGGCCTCTCTACACATACCCAAGGCTCGTGAAAATCAGCGAGGGACACTTCCGGATCCTCCCTCGTCAGTATTTTCTTATTACCCTCCCGATATTTTCCCGATTTTCCTTTTCTCTCGTAAATCGCGATCCAAACTATTTCGCCGCTGTCACGCCTCGATCTTCCCGAGTTCCCCGCGGCTTTCCGGACTAAATATCCACAAAATACTTATTTCGCACGAGGAAAGACGAATTTAGAGACGAGTACGATCGCGAACGCGCGAATATAAAAGTCTACCCGTGTTCAAATCACCCGCCGAGTTCAGCGCGCCGAGTCTACGCCAAATAACGAAAATCTCGCGCCCTACGTTCACTTATCGCCGGGATACCTGGGAATTGATGCGCGTGATTTCGCGCCTCAGGATGTCCATGTGCGCGTCCTTGCACTCGGGACAGCATTTCTTCTCGCAGTGTACGCATAGGGCGCAGTAGCTCTTCTCGGAACAGACGCCGCAGCGTTCCATCGTCTGGCCGCTGGTCGGGTCCGGCAGCTCGCCCGTGATTTCGATATGCAGCTCCAGGAAGCGTTGCAGAGTCACGTTGGTCGGGAAGGCCTGCACGCCCTGTGAACAACAGCGGGAAATATTACTAGCTCGCGCCGTTCATTAATGAGCCAGAATCAGCGCGATGCCCTGAATAACGGCGCGAATTAATTATACCGGTCGGGCACAGCGCGAATTCCTCCTCCCTACTGCTAGCGCGCGCCGGAAATCCGACGTAACGTCAGCGAGTTAACCGAGTTGTGTCGGCGCAAACTGTTTTCCCGGCTGTTCTTTGATTCCTCGGAAAATACATAGCCCGGGGCGATCTGTCGCGCGCGACGTAACAGCGCGCGTGAGCGAAAACGGTTTTTGGTATTCGGCGCGACCGGGAACATAACCGCGTTTGATTATTCCAGAAAAACAGAGCGCGCGCAGATCGAACCGCTCGAAGATGACATTAGCCCGAAACTCGCCGCTTAATGAGAGTCCTCCCGCGTTGTTGGATTCGTCGTTGAATAAAGATGAGCTTGCACACACAACGGCACGCCGCATCCTGCGGGGCCGCGCGCGGAGAGAAAGAGTGAGAGAGGATGTTCGATTCGCGTGGCGGAAGATAGATCGATTTTCTTTTTTTCCGTCCTTCTCCTTCTACTTTCCTATCTCTCTTTCTCTCTCTTTCTCTTTAGCTATTCGCGTTATTATGCGGGCCGACATTACCGCGACCTTATTAAAGGCATAAACGCGACAAGGCGACGCGCGATCCCCGGAGAAGCCGTGCCAGGACGAACGAGCCGCGGCAGCTTGCGCAAATGTGTCCTGTATAGATTTTGCGCGGTCGTGAAATATTGTTTTTCGCCGAACCGACGTAACCTTTTCGTACGTAATTAACCGGCTCACCGGGCGACGCAATGTTCGGGCGATGTGGTGAAAGATCATTCTTCGGATCATTTTCCCACCAGAAAAACATGTTATTTTTCGGTGTTACCATGTTGTACTCTCGTTGTTATTGGAGAAGAAGGTAATATCATGGATATTGTGTAGATTATGTTGATGGAATTATTTGTTTAGTAGCCCGTTATACAGTGGTGTTAATATGCCAATACACAATAGCCGGCATTAATTATAACGCGTTTTTATTTCCGAACATTCCGAAACGTTTTCAAAGTGCCTTAGTATTTATTTATTTACATATTTTCTCATTCTTCCTAAACTTGGGCGTATTATTACACGAATATATCTACACCTGAGTGTTTGTTCGTTATTTAACATTTTATTCCGTTGTACACATTTCGAGTTATGCACAGTTAAACAATAGCATGACATTTTTTGCTACTTTGGCCCTCCGCTAAAATAGATTTCACACAGCCTGTTTTTCCAAGTTTTCATTTCGAAATAGTTATCCGATAAGTTAATAATTCAAGTTTACAAGTCTATTTTTGTTTTGTAGAAATTGTCCTTTTGACAGTTTGTATCTACTTTCTGACAAGCAAGTTAGCATTCATACGAAAAATTCACGGTTATATTCATTGTTGTTCCTCCTAAGAAAGTTTATTTTGAATAAATTTATAAATTTGTAACAAAAGATTGTGTTCCTAAAATAAAACCAATTTTTTAAATCTATTTTAGCAAGAGGCCTCATTACCATTCTTGTTCTTCTTCCCATTATGTAGTGCCACATTTTTATAAATAACGTCTTAAATAATAAATATCTCATAATTTTGATTCTATGATCGATTGAACAACACTTTAACGAATATAATCCTTAGATTTTCAATTAAAAGTATTAATTATTAACGAAGTTATTGCACAAAATGGGGCTATAATACTACCTTCTCCTTTAAGTGTTATATGTCGTGAGAAAGTAACATGATTAGTACGACGTAAAAATCCCCAGCGACTTACTTGGTACGGTATACGATGTTCGGCGCGACATTCCGGACACTTGACCTGTCGACGAACGTAATCGACGAGGCCGTCCATGCACGGCTCCATACAAAAGCTGTGCTGGCATGGTAAGAGCTTCGGATTTCTGTATCGATCCAGGCAGATCGCGCAGGTTAGCAGCTGCTCGAACTGCTCCATGCCTGTAAATGCGAAAGAACCTACTCTCAGTCGGCTCCGTTCTTTACCGCACAGGTAGATGTCGCGAAATGGGAGGAGAGGAAGAGAGGGAGAACCGTCTGTGTCCGTAACAGCAGTGTTCCTACAGTAGCATTCGGCTGCGTCTTAATAAAGTGCAAGCGCCATTTTGCATCGAATAACGATCTATGGACCTATTAGTATTTCATTTCTGTCTGGAAAATGGAAATACACAAATATTACCAAGTTCGCTATTTTATATACACGCGCGTTCAGTCGTTGTTCTATATTCCCACAATTTTCGATGTGCATTGAAAGAAGGATTTGGTAAGAATTATCAAAATTTGGTTAAATAGTTTCAACTAAATTGTTTGGTTACTGCAATCAAATTATTTAGTACCGTATACTGTACATAATATTGTATATAGTATATAATATACAGTTGTGTACGGGAAAAAAAATTAGTTGCCATAGCTAAAAACTAGGTTTGGTAATATGTATTTGAGAACGAACGCTTTATAAATACACTTTTCGTGTTCGCGCGTCATCCTACGAAAATCTGAGAAGACTACTCCTACGACGTTTTTTTTCGTTACTCCGCGTCATTTTAACTCGTCATTATAATAGTTGGTCATAGTTAATAAATAGATTTTAATAAAATCGACTTGAAATTCTGGCCGTCATTCCGGGTTCGAATGCCAAAATCTTATTCACTCAGCCACGCGCGCTGAGCGATTGAGAGGACAGCGGTGGCCGGTTTCCTTGTGTCAGTCATATGATCGGGTCGATATCTATACGCTTATAGTAACATAATTCCCAGCGGAGAGAGCGTAGGAAATGCGTCGGAATCCCAGCGAAGAACAACGGGAATTACCGGCAATATTGATACATATATTCACAATACACACATACGACAACACTTTTAGTCCATTTTAAATGCCGCCGACTGAATTATTTTATTAATAGCGACGCGCTTATTTGCATAGCGCGTATATTTTGCCTGTAAAATCGTTAATTCATTATATCGCTAATTAGCGCGATTGTGTGAGTGCGCGCATCCGGCAATTAAAGCCTTGATTTTTGGAGCCGACTGAACCCATCCCCTCACCCCTCAACCACTCTCCGCTTGCTATTCTTTTTTTTTTTCTACGACGGACGTAAACGCGTCGTTTCGCGGCTGCCAAGACAATGTCAAGATCTCCGTTGGAGTCGTTGCACCTCTATTTTAAGGCGCGATGCATCATCCGTGTAAATTTGGTGGTAAAGAGACGGGTGAACTCAGAGGGCAAACCCTACGAGCACCTCACGCTCCGTGAATTAAACGGAATTATAACTNTTTTTTTTTTTCTACGACGGACGTAAACGCGTCGTTTCGCGGCTGCCAAGACAATGTCAAGATCTCCGTTGGAGTCGTTGCACCTCTATTTTAAGGCGCGATGCATCATCCGTGTAAATTTGGTGGTAAAGAGACGGGTGAACTCAGAGGGCAAACCCTACGAGCACCTCACGCTCCGTGAATTAAACGGAATTATAACTCCCCCCCGCCGCTGAAGCAGGCGATAGCCGAGGGTTCGCGGCGCGGGCGGGTTCCGATCGAGTTTTCCGGGCGGTTTCATTTCGGGCTTTGTCCCGAATTATAAATTTGCGATCGATATTTCCTCGGCGCGGTGTTCGCAAAGCCCGCGATATTTTTTGCCGGGCGTCCTCCCCATCCTCCTCCCCCCTCCCGGTGGGTAGAGTGGCGAGGATAAAAACCGTGTAGCTTTATTTATTATTTCACTCATCGAGGGGATTTTCTTTTTGTTTTAAATAAGCGGATATAAAACGCGATTATACAAATGGCATCGCCGGGGGGATTCGAATATCCGTGCGCTCTGAAAATCCACGCTGCGACAAACACGTCGCCCGACTAATTGCCGAAATTTATCTACGGTGGAAATAGTTCGGCGCGAGCCAACCGGGACGCGCCATGGCGCTTAATAGTATTAGATCGTGATGTATTACAGGGCGAATTACAACGTCGAAATCGAAACGAGGAATATTACAGATCGAAAACCGTGGCAGCCGTAATAATTATTTGAACGTCGCTAATGAGCGGATGATTATCCATGCGATCCAGGAATTAATTATCGCGCTCGCGGCAGGATGTGCAGCAGTGGTAGTAACGGCGGTCGGTAGTAATAGTAATAATAGTAGAAGTGTAGGTGAGATAATCTCGCACGATTAACGCGACGGTAATGTTTTATTTAGCGTTATGGTACGAGGCAAAAATTACGCTCGCGATATCGCTGGCGTCAGCATCCGATGAGTATCCGATCGCTACGTTGAAGAATAAATTCGTATTCTCGATTAATCAAAACTAATTTGAACAACCTGTCAACTGTGTGTGGACCGTATAAATAGTCGGACGAAAATATGAAATTTCGCGTTGGCCGTTTTAAAGCCATAAATTATTTCTGATATTTAGCTGTTACATATTTACAGTTTGCATATTTATTGTATATTTATTAAATATATTTGTTGAATTCGCGTTTAATCAACTTATGCGCAAACGTGCTTATTTATCGCGCGAATTTTGCAAATCGCATGTATCAAGCCGCTCAATTTAATACTGAAAGCGAATGAGCGAGAGAGAGAGAGAGAGGGCTTTACGAGGCCGAGGAGGCGAAGGAAGGAATCTAGAAATTATATAAAAACTCGCAGAGTTCTCTACATCATTTCGTTCCCCGGCACGAAGGTGTTCGATCAATGTCGGGTCTAATTCCGCGGGCTTATTTCAGGCGTCTGGCCTCGTAAAGCATCCAGCGGTTTGTCGTCCCAACGGCAACCGCCGACGCAAACGTTCGTCCGTCACCGCGCTGATATCCGGGTCCCGGCTAATAAAAGTTGCGGACCTTCATTAATATTTCGGGACGTCTTTACACGAACGAAAGATTCCGAGCTCCTAAATTTCTAGCGTGAAGCCGTCGACCGCGTCACAGTATTTATGACCATGTGATTCTGCTAGAAATTGTCACTTTTATCTTCTCTCGTTAAATCTCGGTCTCACGTCAAGTAAGAATCAAATATACGTCTCAGTTTCAGCCGCGTTTCCAACAAAGCGAAAACTACACTTCGTCTATATTTTACAAATTCCCCCACGTGCCGTGATATTCCCGAGATCGTCCGAGATTCGCGGTTAAAGAAATTAGTATGAACGGTAATTAAGAAAAGGGACGGGGGAAGAATCTTAATAGCGATCCATTGCGATCGACGAAATTATCGTGACGCGGAGATCCACGGTGTACTGGCTCAGCGAGCACACGAAGCCGATGGATAAATTTAAATAACGCTGATCGCAGCCGCGTAAATACGTGCGCACGCACGCGGACGGGCGAACATCGTGCGCGAGAGGAGCGTTCGATGATATTGTTCGGCGGAGCTTCGGCGGAGCTTTACGCGTAGCCAGAAGTTGAGCCAAATTCGTTTTGGCTTTCGCAAGTCTCTCCGGCGCACATCGCTGACGTCGAAGGTCGCCGCGAGGACCGATCGCGCTTCCGAGCCGACACAATGACGAGGAGCTAGTGCATTAGGAAACATTGTTACCGTTAGACGAACCACTTGTTGGATCTTGAAGCGAAGTCTCTACCCGCCCCCCCCCTTTTCTCTCTCTCTCTCTCTCTCTCTCTCTCTCTCTCTTTTCCTCTATCTATCGATCTCTTCCTCTCTCTCTCTCTCTCCCCTTCCTGCCTCCCTGTATGTGTCGACGATGCAACAGGCAGCGAGTAGCGATTGTATTAACAACTTTCATGGGCGTTGCCGCGAGGATGAAACGGGATGCTAATTCTGACACTTCGACTGTGTGAACCTCGAAACTTTACCGAGCCCGCCGGGCGAGGAAGCGAGCAACCGAGAGAGAGAGAGAGAGAGAGAAAGAGAGACTCCCGCCTCCATTATTTCAATCCCCGCGCCTTCGGCTCACTTTAATTGCGCGATCATATTTCGCACGGGATCAACGGAGATTTTCCGGTCTTCCGAAAGAATTCACATTGGCCCCCGGTGTATTCTCGCGCGCCGACCCTCATCTGCGGGGAACATCGTGAATAATGCGGCTGACGATCCCGCCGTGCCTCCTCGCGGCAATCTTTTGTAATGATAATGACAACGATCGTAACGAGAGGCGTTCCTTTATCCTTGCTGTCATTATAACGATTTCGGCTCTTGAACCGTGCGAGGTACGACGTGCTTTCGCGCAACACACCGAGGAGTTTTCGGTGATCGAGGGAAGAATTATACGCGGCGTACCTTTTGTCTCGCGGTCTCCCTCTAAATTTCCTGGAGTGAAAGCTCATTCGTAACAAACGAAAAGTAACAGTATCTTCGCTCAAAGCGACAGTGAAAATATCGCTATTCGAGATCGTGATAATGAATGTTTCATTCAAGCTTTTAGTGGATTCTGGCTCCATATAGGCAAATATTTCAATCGGTCGGAGTGAATATGTTCCTCTGGCGGTAGAATACATTAGAGTCCTGGATATAAATGAAGAAGCGACATTGGGTAAGATCGGTTCGATCGGCTGTCTGTCATACGACCTGGGAGTCATGTTTCCTCAGAATTATACTACTTCCGTTACAATTTTAGTACATCATGACTAAAAAAGAATCCTTTTTTTAATGTGCCGAGTTATAACGAGTAGCTATAAAATATGGGAAGAGTATTCTTACTCAGACTAATTATTGAAGTTACCCTCCCTCTTGCAACCTAATCTAACGTTTCTCACCCATCTTCCTTCTTTCACTTCCTTACACGTTTGCTCTAAAGTCAATTCACAGTCAGATCTTATATTTAAGTTCGTCTTAGGTTCATTTCTAGATGCCGTGCGACTTATTTTACTGGCTATGAAGCGTCTGAAAATAAACTTAAAACGATCTTAAATATAAGATTTGGCTACGAATACCAGCTTAAGTATTATCGTAGAAAAAAAGATGGTTGTTTTTCGATATATATTTAACGACTATCGATATGTCGAACTCAGTGTCGCTCCTCTGTTTACATCTATAGTTCTCAAGTACATCAGATTCACTCTTCAATTTCGAGAGAAAGTATTCACTCGGCGATTCAGAGTGGAGAATTTGCTCTAAACGAACGAAAAGTCACTCGAATGACTCGGTAGACGCTTTATATTCCGAGTGAGATTTCATTCCAAGAAATTCGGATAGGTCTTTTTACGTCGATGCCAACAGCGAGTGAGAAATAGTGAGACGAGAGAACGTTCGCGTCTACGTCGTGTTGAGCGCACGATGAAAATGTAGCGGGAACTTGACGAATCCCATAAGAAACCAGGACAGAAGCGTCTTAGAAGCTCCATCGCGTCTATTGGATTTTTCTGTCGCGCGCGGATATTAGATTTGCAGGCGGCTTTTTGCCCGAGCACTTAAAGCGAGACGCGAGCGCGTCGCGTAATGCGGAATTTCCGAGTGTCATGCGCTCGCGAAATGCGGCTGCACGTGGCGCATCATTATTCTCGCGGAGTGGAATAAACAGCGTCGCCGAATGATTCAGCTGTTTCCTTTGTGCCTGAGAGCGCGACGGGCCCGCGCGCGCGCGTGGCAAAATTTGCGGCCGACATTTCGAAAAGGGGAGCGTAGCAGCAGTTTCGAGACCCCTTTTCTCGTCTACATTCATAGAGAGATACGTGTCGTAATTGAACGCCCCGCGATATTCACCATGGAGATCTAAATTTGTCATCTATTACCATCCGAAAGGTTCGCGAAATAACACCGACGGGGTTCGTTGCTTCCATATGCCGCTTTATTCGATTTCACCTCTGCCCTCGTAACGTGTTTTTTATTCATTCAGCCGATCGCGTCATTCGTTAAAATTCAAAGAAATTAATAACGCCGATCGTTGGTCGAGCGACACTTCGCGCGTCTGAAAATGGTTCTTTATTAATATTTTATTTTCTATATAGTCGTATGTTGAAAGATATATATTTATTTGGAATTATTCAAAATTTGTTTTATCACGCGTCGTGTTGGCGCAATTAACCAAGCGCGTCCAAGCTGGATTTTTGCAACCAGGACGCACGTTAAAACGAGGGGGGACAGAGGTGGAAGAGAGGTGTTTTGCCACGCGTATAAATTAGCGGATAAGTCCACGTTCTTGAATTACCACACGGTCAGACCCTAAATTCGGTCCGATCTAATGGCCGGTCTAGATCCTGAGTGATCGCGGGGACCTGCTGTGCACTTGCGTCTAATCAACAAATCCTAAATTGCTCATAGAGCGACGGGCACTGTCGAATAATTTCCCCGACCACGGAGGGAGAGGGAGGGAGAGAGACAGAGAGAGAGAAAGAGAGAGAATGCGCAGCGTGTAATTTGTGTGGCGACTAATGTCGCGTAATCTCTCGTGCGCTCTCGCTGATGTAAACGAACGGGATGAATCTCCCTAATTTCATTCAGCCAGACATTCAGCGACATTAAGGATGCGCGCGAGCGTGTCTCCGTATTTCGCCGTCGAAATACGGGGGAGGACGGGGGGAAGGAAGGAGGCTACGTACCCCATTGAAAATGTGCTTCAAAGTAATCCGAGTTAGGCGCGAGCTTCGAGAGACCGGGAGACACCCTTGTTCCGCGACTCGAGGACTCGTCGGAGTACCGTCCCCTTTTTTACGATTATTCTCTTCTCCCGAACTATCTCTATCCGCTTGTTTTTACTAGCAAGAGAGAAAGAGAGGGATCGATACGCTTCTCGATTTTCCGCGCGATCTCCGCTAGCGTAGCTCGGTCACGCGTAGACAATTTTCATTGCTCGCGGAATTAAAAGCGAAGGAAAGGACGACGGATAAAATGGACCGATTTCGGCTCCCGGAGCGGCAAGTGGAAACGGCATGTTTCTTTTTTTGTATCTTTGAACTACTGAATTTGATTTCGACCTATAAAAAATTTTAATTTGTCGGGAAAATGTTAAAATCAGCATGCGAAGCTATTGAATATATAAGAATGATAATGTCGATTTTAATTTGTCTCCCGACAAATGAAAATGTTTCAGAAGTCAGAGTCAGATTCAACGGCGCAAAAACTACGAACGAAAAAGATACTATTTTTATTTGCCACTCCGGGGGTTCAAAATCGGCCTATCTTATCCATCGTCCTTCCCTTACCCGCTTGGCACGAGCGATCCGCCCCCGAATCGTGCCCGCAGAAAAAAAAAGACAAGTGCTTGCGAGAAAAAATTTTACGCGTGAAAAGGGAGACGGATGAAAAAAAAAATGAGTGCAAAATTCAAATACCCGTGTTCGTGTGCGAGTCCGTCGGAGCGCGAGCGTTATCCGGCTCGGGTACACTGTCACGATGCGAATGTCGGGACACCCTGCTGATGATCCGGCGGTACGCTGACTGATCGCGAGTTCGATCCGCGATCCGTCGGCGGCTCGCGCTGTTCACGGGGGCGCCCGCTATCGATCCATCCGCGACGACGGCACGCGCCAACAACAACAACAACAGAGAGACAATGACAGTGGCAACGACTATAGGGCGGAAGGTATTTGGCACTTGTCGCGAACAAAAGACGCGCTTCCGGTGCGCGCGCACACGCTACTACAATGGTCGAGGGCGGCGCGTGGACGGATCGCCGCGCTTCTGGAATCGCTCGGTCCACACGGGATCCAGCGTACTGACACTTCTCCACCTCGACGTCACTCGCCAGACTCGCGCACGACGCGCGCGAGAGCTATACTTAGCCTCGGGAGGACCTTCGATTTCCGGCGGCTCGTTTTCGGCGAACGATCCGACGGCGAAAAACGCAGCCGGCGGAATATACGCGAAGGCTGACGCGCGCGGATCGCCCTCCGGGAAAATTTCGAGCGTGTCCTCGCCGTGTCGGACGTCGGATACGTGTGTATGTACGTGTCTCGTGTTTCCCGCGAATTTTCGAAGCGGACACGCCGCTCGCGCGGATGTGATTCTTCCTCGTTCCGACGTGGCCGCGTTGTTCCCGAGGTTTTGCAATTTATTCGCGATCGGACGCGACAATTTCGCTCTCTCCCTTGTGCACGCGTGGCCGAGTTGTCGCGAAGTTTATCGATGACTCGTCGATACGTGGGTAGGGTATTCGACATGTTCGAAGCTTCGAAATTTCGGTATAACTATTCGACCTCGTTTGAGGACGGAGTTCGAAGGTTGGAAGTCGAATTATTCGAAGTTTCGAAATATCGAAGCCGATAATAAAACTAATTTTGGAGAGTGCTATAAAATGCTGTGCAATTGGAGGGTATCGGTTTAATCCAGATTACATGAAGACGTCTTAAGACGTATAAGGTCGTCTTTGAGATATCTTTTAGACACACGTGTTGTTCGGGTGAGTATCTTTAATTCAATCTTAAGATTGATACTTGTCTAGTTGAAAACAAAGTGAACGAAAAAAGAAACATAAGTAACAGGCAACAAATCTCATCAACTTTATTTTAATTCCTTTCAAAATGAATGCAAATTTTGCCGTGATATGTAACAGCATATGAATAAAATTACATCCTTTAAGACATTCAGAAATAAATACTATTTACTATATCTATTAGTGTTTGAAATTTTACATTAAAAAATTTTATTATTCGAATATAACGTGTTGAAGTTTCGAACATAATTTTTCGCTCTAACGTGTAGTGGACTGATCCGATGACGAGAGTTCGATCTATGATTTGTAGCTCGTTGCCGGCTCATGTTCCTCGCGGAGGCGTCTGCTACATAGACGTATAATTAATTCATTGTATCTTGTGGCGCGTGTCAATAATAATTATTTATCTCGGCACGCGTAGCCGACGAATAGATCTTGAAGACGTCGTGAGAAACGACGATTCGGTGCCAAGTTGGAGAGGAAAATTCGCTTCGACCGACTACGTCGGTGTTAGCGATCTCTGTCAGGGATATCGCAATCATTGTCGATGTTTATGATCTGCGTGTCGATAGGCACTCAAACGAATCGGGGGAAAAAGTCCGAGCTAAAGTAGCTCGCTCGCTCGCACTATGACAATTAACGGTGCGATATTGTTTTCCCCAAAGCGCGCAATAATGAATTCGATGGCTGATTTCCAATTATTCGTTTTATAGAAACAGGACGACATGATACATGTAACGAGGACCATTTAATAATCGTTCCTGTTTAATGTCCTGTTTAATGTCAGCATTAATATGCATTCTGTCGGGGCCGGATCGGCGGATATTTCCCCGTTCGATCCGCGGTGGCCAGCTGCGAATTGCTGCGGCGAACGATATTGCGCCAAATGGCGCAAGTTCGGACGGTTATTTTCTTATCAACGAAAACGGAAAGCGCATACCAGTGAAATACGTAAACTCAGGCTCGCGTAGACAACGCCGAGAGCCGTCGCCAAGTCGTACGTCGTTCACGTCGAAAACAGATTTTTTCCTCAAGCTACTTTCAGATCTCCGGATCGCCCTTTCCTCCGTTTTTCTCTTTTCCTCCTTCCTCCTTTCCTCCTCCTTGAGGTCGACGTCTAATTTGAATAATCGGGTTTCGTGGAAAAAAATATCAATAGGAAATTGCACTTTCGGTCGTTTTCCATTCGACCGCACAGCGGATCGAGCGGAACTATCGCATGAGCCGCCATTGACATAGACCATTCAGCGACGAAACGTCGCATCCGTCCTTTCGTCCCCAAATAAGTTTCACCCGAATGGCAGGTGAGTTCACGCAAAATCCGATTTTCGCGAATGAACTCCGTGTAACAGCCTGAACACATATGCATGCGAAGGAGAGTGAAATTGTCACATTCGATCATTAATGCCAGAAAAATTCAGGGATGACAATAACTCTCAGCTCGGTGACGGAATTCCAACCTGAAGAGACAGCAGCGAGATGTAATCAAAGAACATCGGTGCTTCGATTCACCGTTTCGAAAACGTAGAAACGTTAATCCCGAAGGTCATCGAATTAGGAAGTAAAATTGCAAAAGATTGATAATACCCGAGACGACATTTTAAATTCTTCATTAAGTCGGGGAGATAGGAAAAATTTGCAAATATAGTTCGAGTTTGTTCTTTTTCGCATTTTCGCAACCGGAGAAGCAAATTTTACTGCGGTCGAGCCCTTCGATCGTCACGACGGAGAAGGCCGATCGCGTCGATCGCTCTGCGATTTCGGCTCGGCGTTCGCGCCAAGTGGCGGGCGACCACCACCGCCGTCGGCCGGCTATATTTAACCGGCGTGCGTTATCCGCAGCACGCGGCACCGCTTATTTTCAACGCGATCTTCGGCGGCCGCGACGGCCCGCGGTTTATCGACCAGAGCTTTTCTCACGCTGGCAAGACAGTTTTCTGCACGGCCGGGGGAATTATCCGGCCGGCTTACACGCGAGCCTCGGGAGAGCTCTCTCGCTTGCTGCAATTTAACGAGTCGATAACTGCAATTTCGCACCCCGGAAGGTAGCACCTCTCTCTCGCTTTTCGCGGCATCTCGGCCGCGTTCGACGTCTCTGACGTTCTAAAAACGCGCTCTCGCGCTCCCCCGCGCGTTCTCTCTGGCCCGTATCCGCGCAGGGAAAATAGAGTCTCCGATTGCTATCCCGGCCTCTTGGCTACGCGCACGGACGCGGCTTCTCGTACGTTCCGACGTTTCCACTCGGAACTGGGTTGCTTTCGTGGCTTGTACAGCGGAGGCGGAGGGAGAATTTCTATTATTAGCGTCGCGGAGACGCGTGAAATCTAATGTACGACCTCATTAATGGAGGCGCGTGATAAGTAAACGGCGGTATTCTTTTTCTAAGACTTCGGACGTCTGCCGAGGGTTAGGAGAACACTTCTCCCTCCGCCATTTTCTTTCTTTTTAGCGTTAATTCGGCCGGCGTGGGTTTTTTCAATTACCGGCTTTCATTAAGTTATCCACCCCGTAGCTACTCTCATTTGTCGGGCCACAGGGTGAACCCGCGCGCGGGGGGGGTGCCATGCGGAACGGCGGAGAAAAAGCTTGATTTCAGCTTTCGCCACGGTAAGACGGGGACGGTTTCGTTCTTATTTTGTCCTCGGCTTCGCGGCGAAAACCGCGACCACGATCTCGTAAATACGGCCGATTGTCTCTTCCGCTTCTTGCGGCAAGTTGCTTTATCGCGACGCTACGCTTTATCTCCCGCTTGGGGAGGAAACGCTCTTCCCGTTCGACGCACTCTAAAAATGATTAATCCCAGGTAAACGAGTAACGAGACAAAACACTCGATCGTCGAGCGAGACGCGAATCGCGCTCTCTTCGTTCCTCGAGTTTCACGAAATCGCCTTCCGCAGAACGGGAATTCCGTTACGGGGAATGCGTTACATTATCGCGTCGTTAGTTCCGACTAACGCACGCTTGAGGCGAGAAACCTCGGACGAATTTAATTAATTCCGAGAGCGCAATGAAAGACCGTTTAGAATTCTTCGGGTCTCGTAACTCGTCGACTTAAACGCGAACGTGGTGATCGCGCGACCGCCGTATAATACCGCGATTAGCTCGTATATAAAGCGATATAGCGCAGCTATTTTTGGGGAGGGGGGGAGGCGCGAAAAAACCCGGATATTTATTCGCGCGTTATTGTTAGATTCGCGCGCCGGATCGCGGCGGGAGATCGTGAGTACATCGAACACAGAGCGTGATCCCTCTCTTTCTCTTCTGTCTCGCTTGTTTTTTTTCTCTCTCTTTTTTTTCAATTTCCGCGATACCTGCAAGATCGAAATCCCTCAATACACGCCTTCGCATATATCTCACGGTAAATTGCGTTAGTCCCGCGCTGAAACACATACATGTAGAAAGAGAGGAAGAGAAAGAGTGAAAAGAGGGGAGGAGGTGGGGAGAAAGATATCTCACCCTCGTTCGATGAAATTTATTCGCATTGTACGGTTCGTTCGCGCGCTTTCTTTCAGCTCGCCGTGTATCTCAAAGGGAAATAAATTACGGGGACTTATCGTCTCTCGCGCTTTTTCTAAGCTCCCGCACTTGCGAACCGAATAACGGCCCTTAATTAATACCCCTTGGGGTACTTCCGTTTTTGATTATTCGCCATTTGTCATGGACGCGACTGTATAAATACGACGCGTTTCACCATTGAGAGTTCCCTCGCGCTATTGAATGGAGGGCCTCGCCTCTTTCGCGCGCTCTAAGACGCGCGCCGTAATTATCGATTTATATTTGACCGCGGGACCACGTTATTTTCCTAGAGTTTTTCAATTAATCCGCACGAACGCTGTATAGCTGCTCTTTTATTCAGATGAAATAGAGAGAGCGAGCGAGAGAGAGAACGAGCAAGAGAGAGAGAGAAAGAGAGAGAGAGGGCGGGAGGGAGAGAGGGGGGAGAGAGAAAGAGAGAGAAATCGTAGGTTGACGGCCAACAATAGAAAGCCGTGGAG